CAAATCCTTTCCCATTTTTTCTGACTCTTTTTGGTGTTTCTTTACTGTGTTTATCATCATCAGCAATCCATGATGACTTGGTTTACTGCGCAAATGTCCAGTCCCTCTCGATGTGAGTGCGTCTGATAATCTAATTCAAGTGTATATATTTTCCTTTACTCCCACTAATTCATATTCATTATTTCACCACAATAACAAAAAAAAAATCCTATTAATTCAGCAATAATAAATGAATATTCGTTGGAATATGCCGGTGATCATTGAATCAAGAAATTATTATATAAGCACTACTAAATCGGGTATGTCAATAGATTTTAATCTTTGTATTTTTTGTAATCTAATTGTTTTGGTCAATTATAATCACGTCATTTGCTTCTACTTTTGTGAATTACAGTCTTGTTTTATTAGCTAATGACTATTAATGTGTAGTAGGTAAGAATTGACTCTCACATAACAATCACCTTTATAAGAGCATGTGCTGGAATTTTGTCATTAATATGAGAATTTTCTTGATATTAATAATATTTAAATTTTTTATTAACCAAAAAAACATATCCATGAATTTTTTTTATAAGTGATTTTTCATTTTAGAGATACAATTTGCGTTCCTTGAAACAAAATCGTCTTGACGAATATGGCATCAGTCTGTAACAAGGGTTTAAATTTTAAATTGAGCTTTATGATTCATATGATATTTATTTTCTTAATTTTGGTCCTTCCCATCATTTAGAAATAAAAATAACAAAAATATTACTGTTAATAAAGATATAATAAGTAATAATTTTAATTAAATGTGATGATAAACAAAGGACATATAATCCATTTAGATACAGACAAGTAGAAAAGGCTCAAGGAAGGATGGTCCATATGAATGACGAGGAAATTGAGCAATACATAATAATTGTCTAATTAAGACTTCAGCACTAGCGATCCATCGAGGATCCTTTTCAATGCTTTGATTAAATATCGATCACACAACAAAAATAAAATATCTGCATGGAATCTATTTGCTTTTTGCATTGCACAAGCTTATTTCATCCCTTAGTTTTGAAGCTAAATTAAAGTGTGGTATACATATTAACATGTTACCTCGTAATAATATTTAAAGAAGCCAATAAAAATTTCAGTTAATAAGGAGTTAACTCATAACTTACAAGATCGTGAATTCAAATCTTGCTACTGATATGAAGATCTTTTTGATGAGCAATATGTAAATATCTTTATAAATAAATCTGGATGCATGCCTTGTCTTGGTCGGTAAACCTCTAATATCCAACCCACCTAAATTTTTATTAGAAAAAAAAATCAAAGAACACCAAATCTGTTTTTGTCATATTATTATATTTGGAACGCAGAATTTAGAGACTGTGACGCTAAAATACAAAACATAATAATCATGCTTAACTTTAAGAATTACTGGACATATTACCTAATCTATATAAGTATTGATATTTTTTAAATGTCCAGTTTTGATAGAAGTTAGGTGTGATCCCACTCATAATTGGCAACCTTGTTTGAGTAAGACAACTGGATCTGAATATTCCACGATCAATATGTGTAACAAGCATTCCATGTGATTAAGTTCTTTCTATTATTTAGTACTGTATTTTGAAATAAGATAAAATTATTATTATTATTATTTGATTCTTCTTCTAATTCTTTTTCAATTTTGTAGGCATTAATGGTACGCTCAATAATGATAGCAATGCGCCTACCATTGTGGACTAGCAAAGAGCCCATTGTGTTGTCATCCTCGTAAATCCAGTCGCTAGACATTTTTTCAAAAAAATAGGATCACTCATTAGAGGCATTAATTTATAATTTACTGACACAATCATGGTCTAACCATAATTAATTAGACCGGCTATAAATAAATTAATGTGTTCCCTCTTTTTTCTAATACTGGACCTAGTTAGAGAATTAAATTTATTCTTAAATATACAAGTTTAATATGCTTTATTGCTCATATTTATTATTTTCTTCAGAACTAATTTACTTAAATGATAAAATATTTTAGAAAAATCGCACGTATTTATTTTATAATTTATGAATGGGTCTAGTTTTGCATCATCGGTATTGGACAAGAGATACGTGCGTTGCTGCAATTTGTCAGTGAAAATGAGTCACTCCTTTTCAATGAACGTAAGGTAGTCATGTTTTCCCCCAACACAGACATAAAAATAAAGACGTTATAATTATATTCACCGCGAAATCATTCTTATCGTTGAAAAAACCATACAAGTTATAATATTTCAAAGTGGGAAACAAATTAGAATATTGCATACATGCATGGTTAGTCATTAAGTATTCTGGTTAGTTAGCATTAAAATGAATATATATATTCTGGTTAGTTAGCATTAAAATGAATATATATATTCTGGTTAGTTAGCATTAAAATGAATATATATATTTTTATTTATGCAAAGTCTGGAAGTGGGGTTGAAGAAGTTACAAGGACACTCATCCTAGACTAAACCTTGGAATTATATACTAACTCCGGTACTTAATATAAGAACTGTTGACTAATTTGAATATGTTAAAAAAATTAGTTAAGTTAGTTATTTATAACAAATATGTATTGTCTTTCTTAGAATACTTTTGCTAATCATGTGTATTAGTTAAAATTATTATTTGATAAAATATTTAACATGTTCGATTACTACAATGATTATTTTTTAAAAAATAAATAAATATGGGAAACAAAGTGGATTGAGGTATTATATTTAGGACAAAATTAAATGTCAAATTAGCTTTTATATTAAGAACCGAAAGTAATATGACCTAAATGACACTATCATTTGAAGTCGGCGTTATCATAATTCTAATTAAAGTCATTCATCCAAAAAACAAACAAAGTTGACACTTTATCTTCCAACAATTTGTTACTCTGTCTTGTGTCCTATAATTGCATGAACACCCATGAGACTATTCTCAAATGAAGCCATGTGCAGCGCTGCATAACTTGCAGAGTTAGAGCTGTGGACAAAACCCAAAAAAAAAAAAAAAAGATGAAAATGTCAAATGCTTGTATCATGCAAGGGTGTCTCCTAATTGCAAAACGAAATTTGAAAGCTCTGAAACCAGGCCAGGCGATCAGATTGCGTTTTTGGTTGAACAAACTTGGGTCACATGGGCAGGCCCTGACCATTTAAACCGTGGGTGGTACAGGAACCTTAACTTGGCCCAAGCTTGCGGGGCTTGTCCTAAGTGTTGGGTCCCTGTATAGCCCGTAGATTCCCCGCCACTTGGGATCCTTTGCAGTGTGGGCGTAGCCTCATTTTCCAGATTTCTGGCTTTTTCAGGCACTGCCCGTTCCGCTGTTATCAAAAAGCATCTGAAACAATTCAAACAATCCAGAAGAAATTAGTTTTCTATAAATTAAAGTTTGAATTCTCATTAGAAAAATTGTGCGGCTTTTGATAGTGCCTTGAATAAAATTATCTCTGATACGAGAATACCTGTATTTTAAAAAAAAAAAGCAAGCATATCAAACATGCATGACTTTTTTCGCTTCATATAGTAAAGCTTGCCTTCTAAAGCTTTTATAATTAACCATCAATTAAAATAATACTTCTTCCATTTGTGAGTCAATATAAAGGAAAAGGTTCTAATTATTTGCTTATGGTATTTAACGTATGAGTAATTGCTTTTATGTTTTTGAAGCTTGTGTGCGAGGGTTGGGAACTTTGTGGGAGTGAGTAGGTCAGTCCGATATTTATCATCATTTTTTCTTTAAAAAGATGAAAGCACAAAAGGTATTTTAAATTACAACTCAAGATATTCTTCAACGTGATGATAATTGAGACCATGCCTTACCAGCATGATGACCTCATGCAGAGTGGGAAGCCATGCTTTTTCTCCTGGACTTTTGTAGGTGATAAGATACTCATGAGATTCTCAAGATTTTGTTCCCTTATCTGTTGTACGAATTTTGGATACCAAATACTACAAGTTAACTAATAATTTCATGCGTTTTAGATAAGACAACAACTTTGGGTTCATTTAGTCAAAAAATATGATATACTTTTTGGCATGATCCTATCAAGTTTAATTTTCTAATCAAACCACCAATAAACAGCCGAAGATATTTTATCTTTTCCTTCTCTCTTCACTGCTCTCTCCATTGCAACATCCCAATTTCTTTTTCCTCAGATTAGCTATCGGCAATTGAGTTAAATTAGATAGTGGTTTAAGTGGGTAGTGATGGTTTGGCAATACTCTTAAATAAATTTCTCAAGTTCTAGGCTGAAGATTTTCAAGTGACATTCAATTTAATCCAGTTATTGATTTATTTTCATAAGTTGTTTAAAAAGAATTCAACCGTTATCCTTTCCTCTTCATACACATGCGGATGAGAATTTTAGAAGCGCGTCAGCTAATAGAACGATAAGTCAGTGAAGAGCTAAGGGGTCTAGTTGAAGATTGTAGGATACTTTTAAGTCAGTTTCATTCTCTTCCTGTGACTTAGCTTCTTTTCTTATCTATTGTACAGTACTATCAAAAAAATAATAATTTCCAACATAAAATTGAATAAGGGCAAATGATTAGGTTCATCGAGTGGATCAGTTGGAAATTCTCGTTATTACTAATCCAACCCTACTTAGGTTGCATACCAAACCAGTGGATCACTAATTCACAGGAAATAGTAAAACGTACTATCAAGTAATAATTTTTATATCATTTGTACCATATGCTTTTACATTTATTACACAATAACAAGAGGCTAAATGACAATGCTCCAGATCGCACAGACCACCACACTAAAAATTTTTCCATTTGCGATAGTAGTAGTCCCTGCCACCTGCACCCACCCCAAATACAGCATGCGTGTGTGTAATTAAAATGGAAATATCATCCTGCATTAAGTGACTATATGTGAGGAAAATAGTGCCTAAACCTTGCGACTTACATTAATAACCCTAGCTGATAGGGTTCTTAATTTTCATTGCTATATTATTATGCGTCATTATTAAGCGTTTATTTTCCTTTCTTATGCATAATCACTGAAAGTAAAGATCATGAGATGAAAGTCTAGGCCTAATAACAGCCTCAAGTGGTTGTTTTCTGACGCTAGTAAGCCTTGGAATTTCATCCATGTTTACGTCCTCCTTCTTCATATGATCCGGCAGGCTCCATGAGAAGCCATGCGCCAAGTTGGCTAAGCTTAAATGCACGACCTTAAGAGCAAGAGGATAACCAGGGCAGATTCTTCTTCCAGCACCAAATGGCAATAACTCAAAGTTGTGTCCTGTCACATCAATATCCTTACCTATGAACCTCTCTGGGTATAACTCATTAGGGTTGTCCCATATTGCAGGGTCTCTGCCGATAGCCCACACATTGACGATCACTTGGGTCCCTTTTGGGATGTCATACCCTACAACTTTAGAGTCGCCGTCTACGGCTGACGTCGTCGGAGGCAACACAGCTGCTGCAGGGTGCAATCTCATAGTTTCTTTGCAAATGGCTTCACAATAAGGCAAGTTCACTATGTCCTTCTCTTCTACCCATCTGTCTCGCCCGATCACTCTGTCTAATTCTTCTGTGGCCTTCCTCAGGATTTCTGGGTTTTTCAAGAGCTCTGACATTGCCCATTCTACAACTACATTGGAGGTATCTATCGCAGCTATCACAAGGTCCTGAGTAGTAGACAAATTAAAGCTTGTTAATAAACTTATTGCGAGTACGGTTAGATTTAATTTGTCCTTCTGATCAATAGTTCACTGCATATTGCTTAATTACTGCTTGTCTATATGTCCCTATTGATGAGTTTTAACCTTAAATCTACAAGCCCCCCTTACCGTAAAATACTAGAAGTGGCTTATTCATAAAACATGCTGCAGCTTTTTGAACTGAAGGATAGCGCTTTGAATTCAGTTCTAATTAGGCTTTGAATTCGGCAATAAAGTTACTAAAGTGATGAAGGCACACTGACGTACCAGAGTTAATGCTTTGACTATGTGCCTTTGAAGTTTAACCTCAAGAGTGGGGTCTTCAGCAAGCTGCAAAAGCACATCCACCATATCTTTGGGTACATAATTCTCAACTCCTTTTCTTCTCTCTTCGTGTTCATCCAGCACATGCTCCAGAAACCTATCAAACTTCACACTAAAATCCTTCATTCTCTTTGTATAACCCTGCAAGTCCAAGAAATTGAGCCAAGGGATCAGATCCCCAATATTCGCAAACGTATTCAGCAAGAAAAACTCATCCACCAGTCTTCTGAACTCTTCCCAGCTGATAAACCCACTCTTATCCTTCCGCACGTACTTCTTCCCCAACACCATGCGACTAATAATATTTAGGTTTAAAGCATAAAGATAATCTCTCAGCAGTACGGGTTTGCTCGAAGAAATGAAAAGTTCATTCAGCATACATTTCATCTCTTCCTTTCTGATATACTCGCTGGATTCTATGCTCCTCTGAGATAATAGCTGTGTGAAGCATATCTTGCGGGCTTGGCGCCAGTGTGGACCGTAGGGGGCCCAGAGCATATCGGAGTAATTGTAGACTATGTACTTTCCGGCGTTAGTTCTGGGTCGGGATGAGAAGGTCTGGCCGTGGGTTTGGAGGAAGGCTTTGGCAACGTCGGCTGATGATACGACGACGACATGTTTTAAGCCTAATTTGAGATGCAGGATGGGTCAGTATTTTTGGGAGAGTTCATAAAAGGAGTGGTGAGGAAGAGGGCCTATGAGATTAAGGTTTCCGATGATAGGCCACGGTTTTGGTCCCGGTGGCAGGTTATATCGGCGGGAGAGGAGACGATGGAAGAGGAGGAGGAAGAAGAGGAAGGGGATAAAGATTACTGGCCAAGAAGGCAACTTCATTTGTATCTGTGAGTGAGTGGAGCTTGTGATGGAAGTCTGCGAGGTTGAGAAACCGGGGAAGGCAATATATCGAGAGAAAAATTATTAAAAGATAAGACCAGAAAAGTGACTGATTTTAGCATGCCTTTTGAATGTGCCGCTAATAAAATAAAAAACGCAATCTAATTAACCCTTCATTTGAGCCTCGTTCGCCGGTCTGGAGTGAACCGACTTCATTTGTGATGTGAGGTCTGCAAGGTTGAGAGACGGAGAAAAGCATTATATCGACAGAAAAAAATTTAAACACGAACGGTCATTCTGATTGTAGCATATGTGATTGTAATTGAGAGGTATTAATCCTGTGATCCTTTTTTGCAATCTCATGCTGTTAATTAGTACCTGAAAAAACAAGTGCCGTTACTAAATATTGGGGAACCACGTTTATAATTAACTAACTTACCTAACATATTTAATCTAATCAAATTAGTTAAATAGATTTTATATTAAAGATGGGGGCATTATTCTTTTTTCAACTTGCTCTTTGTTTGGAGGCTGATTCTGGTTGATTTTGTCGGTTTGCCTGTTATATTCTGGTTCTTGCGCGGATCACGTTGAGGATGTGACATCTCAGACTTTTTGTCCTTTTCCTTCTCATTTCTTTTTTTGGTTACATGAGAGGCGGGATCGAACCCGCACATTACCAACACACGCACACACTAGATGCCACTCCGCCTAGAGGCGGTTGGCTTTTCCTTCTCATTTTTAATTCATGAAATTCAGCTGTTGCTGGTCCTTCTAGTAACATTTTCTTTCATTGTTGGTCAAGGGTGGATTTGGTAAAAAGGAAATGGAGGATAAAGAGAAAAAAAGGTAATCATTTCAATTTAAAAAATTAAAAAAAGTGAGATTAAAATTTTTAATTATTTTTTTATCTTATATCTTTTTTTATTAAAATTGTAAAATCTCACTTTTTTTTTTTTTTTTAATTAAGCTTATTAAAATCCCCCCTCGCTCCATTTGTCTTTCTTTACCGCACAAAGGTAATGCCAAAAACATGAAATAAATGGCAACAATCAAATCCCGCAGACCACCCCCACTAAACAATATTTTAATCTAATACTTCTCTCGTTTTATTTACAGGATAAAAAAAAGATATCTTTTTACTCCATTTAGAGGGCACTGAGAAATTTTTTTTTATATGCATGTATAAATTTTACCTTTTACTTATTATTGGATTGATTTAGTTTATATAAGGTGTAATATATGTTAAATAGAGATAAGACTGAAAAATTGTTGAATTTTAAATGAAAGTTAATAAAATTTAAGATTTTTCTTGATTTGTATTAAACATGTTAGAAGTGATTTATAAATAGAACCAGTTAAATAAGTAGTAGTGCTTGCCAATCCCAATGCCAAACATTTTTTGAAAAAAAAAACTTAATTTCGTCGCCCTGTTTTTAGCAAGCTTTGCCATTAGTAAATATTGGGAAAATTCTACAAGAGTCTTCCAAAAACACAAAACACAAAACACAAAACACAATATAATCAAATTAACCCTTCAGTTTAGACTCGCTCACGGGTAGTACTCCAGAATCAATCGGTGACTTGATATTCGAAGAAGGGGGATGATTTTTGTTAAATATCTCCACAGATATAATGATGTAAAGAGAGTTAGAGGATATGTATCAGGAAGATTTTGTAGTTTATTAAGTCCAGATTTTTTTTTTTGTAGTTAAATATCTCCACAGATATTCTCCTGTTGACTATTGGAAACAATCATGTTTGAAACGTTATAGGGTAGTAAACGTTGACACGTTTTTAAGCAAAAATTTGAACCCTAGTACGCAGAGACTGATTCTTTCTACCAAACCCTATCTCTTATCTCTGACCTTTTGGTACGAGATAGATGAGCCAATATATCAGATTACGGTTAGTTATAATTTTAAATGCTTACAAACATGGGCTCGGTCATGTTTCAATATTGAGATGGTTCTTTCTCTGCTCTCCACCCACAACCGTTCATTTTGATGTTTTATCCTTAAAATTACAGAAAATCATTTAATTTATGATTATGACCCCCCCCCAAAAAAAAAGCAGTAACATAGGTTACTTCCGTGGCGTCTTCTGATATTTTGCAAATCATATCCTACCATCGCACAAGTTGTTTTTGAAGACAAAGAAAAGAAGCTACTTTTAGATTTATGTTGTAAGACTTTAAATCTTGTATGTTTATCCACATTTGATCATGCCTTTATATCATAATGTGATATGATGAAATCACTTTTATTTGCAAGCATCATCAAAGCTGATGGAACCTCCTAATTATTATTGAAAACAATAACTAGAATCACTGAAAACCAGTCAATCAAATCTCCTCTTATTGTTGAAAATATTTGGGCCACGTAGGCCGGCCCAGGCCGTGTCAACCCCAGGAAACAGAAATCTTAACTCATGTTTTCATTTTTGGGCGAAGGCCCTGTGTCCCTTTCAAGCTTTTTTACTTTTGTTGTCTAAATGTTTGTGAGTTGGATTATAAGACTCATTAAGGTTAGGATTTGCCTTTAGACTTAAAAGAGTGTTTATAAAGATATTTACATATGACCTACTAACAAGGTTCTCACATCATTAATGAGGTTCAAACTCATAATCCTATATGCTATTAACTGATTCTTTATTAACTGAATCAACTATTGTTAACATATTCCTTTCAAGTTGAATCATCTATTTGAAGTTAATCATTCATTCTCATGGACTTTATTTTTTTTGTGATAATTCTCATGGACTTTATATTTACTTGATGATTGGTGATTGTCATGGGAAAGAATTATTGGCATATGAGAAATCAATGATGTATTTGACATGGCAACAACCTTAAAGGATTAACCTGAAGGAAATTAAATAATACAAGAATGAGTGTATATATGAGTTTTTCCCGAAGAACTGAAGTTGCTTAATGAATTAATGAAGAAAGAAACAAAGTTTGCAAGGAAAGTAACGAGAGATTTTTGGATTTCTTTTCATTGGATTTGGAACATCAAGATTTTTTAATCAATTAATAGGGTTAATATAATTTTTGGTCTTTAAGTTTGTACTCATTATAGTTTTGACCTCTCAAATTTCAACTACAAATTTTGATCATTCAAGGGACAAAATGATCTGTATTTTTATTAAATTTTAGGGATCATTGTTTTAGATGGAAATAAACTTAAAAAACCAAAGCCTGTGGTTTAAAACTTTTGAAGAATTAAAATCAAAATAAACAAACTTAAGGGCCAAATTGTATTGACCCTAATTAATAATATAATGGTATCATTGTACACGTGGTGGTCTAAGAGTAAATAAACTTTTGCACTGACAGCTGTATCTTAATTAATTTGACTTGTCATATGATTATTGATTACAATAATGATGAGTTTATTTCAAATTTGAAATAATGTACGTAGTAAAATATCCCCCGAGGACTTTCATGATAACATTAAGCAAATTGTTAAATAAATTTAGTTAGAACCACTCATTATTGACCTGGCGTAGGAACAAAATTGAAGGGTTTCGCTGGCCAGAAAACAAAAAAAATGATTAAAGGGTTTCATGGGATCGATCAATCTTGACTAACGCTTCCTTGTGTCTGTGTGTGTATCTAAGACAAGTTATATATGTGTGTGGGACAAGGATTTAATGTGCGAGAATTGATTTTCAATTGATCAATTTCTTCTTTGTTACTCTGTTTTTTTTTTTTTGCCATTCTTAATTTAAACTCTGTAGTGCTAAATTTAATTTATGGGTAATCAAATTAATTTGACAGAAAATATGTGCCATGCCAAAAATATCGTTCCTTTCTCCGATATAATATTATTTCTTTTAATTTTTAATATAAGAGCTAGTTTAACATTCAATTTAGTCTTAAATAAAAGACTTCAATCCACTTTGTCTTTTAAATTTATTCTTTTTTAAGATAGTTTTTATAGTAATTGCAAATATTAAAAATTTATCAAATAGTAATTATAATTGATACACATGATTAACAAGGATATTTTAAGAAAGACAACATTTAGTTATTATAAATAATTAATCTAAGTAATTTTCTTAATCTACTCAAATAAGCCAACTAACGTGAGGTAGTAATAACCCCAACAATTCACAGTCATGTGATAATTCATTCAAAGCCTTTATAGGGGGTATTTGGCAACCTCCAAATCATGGTTTCAGAAACATTTTTTCGCAAAACGAAACAAATTCTTCCATGTATTTATTTCGTAAACCGTAAAAACACTTCTGAAACTATAGTTTGGTTTCTATCCAAACACTCCCATAGACTATGTCTTGCGTCTAAATGGAGAGTAACGATACACAAACACACACACATATATGACCTGATGATTAATATAATAAAGTCACGATGACATCATGCATATTGAGGCCAAAGCCATGTAACACAATAATTGGTTCATTAGAATCTTAGTCGACAAAGGAACAGTCTCTGCATGTGCGCTTATGGAGAATTAATTTAATTAAAGGGCGTAATTAAATGTATTACGTACCCTTATCTCACGTATCGACGTGCGCGTGCGCGCACACACATGTATAAAATCAACGAATGCTTAGAGGATATGCATTTATGGAGCTGTTTAAGTGAGATAATGAGCTGGATTAGATATTAACAACTCATCAGAGAGTTCTAATGATGTTGATCCACTTGCAATTATGCGAGGATGGATGACACTTCTTTTTTCCGTTGACTTTTTGGGTGATAGGATGTTCATAATTTTTTTGGGAAAATTTTCCCTTTTGTTGTAAAAATTTTGGATGCCAAATACTGTTAGTTAACTAATTTAATGTTCCTTTCTTTTTTAATATAAAAGCCACTTAACTAATTTGAATAGATTAATAAAGCTAAATAATGAATTACTAATTCTAACAAATATTTCTTTGACCAAAATTCTAAGAAATAATATGACATCATCTCCAACAGGTAATAACTTTGTCCTACATTTAAAATTCGAGGAAGCTGTATAAGACAGCAACGTTGACGTCATTTATTATAATATCTGAAGATATGATATGCTTTTTGGCATGAATCTAACAAATTTTCCAATAAACAGCCAAAGATATCTTATCTTTTCCTTCTCTTTTCACCGCACACTCTCCAACCAATTTCTATTTCCCTAGATTAGCTAAGGCAATTGAGTGTAGATGGCAGTTATAGTGGGTATTGATGGTTTTAGAGTAATCTTAAATCAATTTCTTAAGTTTTAGGATGAGGAATTTCAAGTAATATTAATATTCAATTTAATCCAGTTAGTTAATTAATTATTTTCATAAGTAGATAGTATTCATCGAATTGAGTTGGAAATTCTCAGTATTACCAATCCAACCCTCCTCAGCTTCTATAACAGACCAGTGGATGACTAATTCACAAGAAAATATACTACCAACTAATTATTTTTCATTCGTTTATGCTTTTACAATACACAAATATCAAGAAACTAAACGACAATGCTCCGATCACACTTAAAAATTTTCCATTTGTAATACTAGCAGTCCCTGGCACGCGCACACACGTGCGCCCCAAACACAGTGTATATATATAAAATAAAATGGAAACATTATCCTGCACTAAGTTAATGACGCCAGTTGATAAGGTTCTCATTAATTTGACTTGGTATCTTATTATGAGTCCTTACAGCGTTATTTTCCTTGCTTATTATCTATAATCATTAGAGGTAAAGATCATGAGATGAAAGTCTAGGCTTAATGACAGCTTCAAGTGGTTGTTTTCTGACACTAGTAAGCCTAGGAATTTCCTCCATGTTTAGGTCCTCCTTCTTCATATGATCCGGCAGGCTCCATGAGAAGCCATGCACCAAATTGGCCAAGCTTACATGAACAACCTTAAGTGCAAGAGGATAACCAAGGCAGATCCTTCTTCCGGCCCCAAATGGTAATAACTCAAAGTGGTGTCCTGTTACATCAATATCTTTACCTATGAACCTCTCCGGGTAAAACTCATTAGGGTTGTCCCATGTTGCAGGATCTCTACCAATAGCCCACACATTAACGATAATTTGGGTCCCCTTTGGGATGTCATACCCTAAAACTTTGGAGTCGCCATCTATGGATGACGTCTTCGGAGGCAACACAGGTGCTGGAGGGTGAAATCTCATTGTTTCTTTGAAAATAGCTTCAATGTAAGGCAAGTTCACTATGTCTTTCTCTTCTACCCATCTGTCTCGGCCGATCACTCTCTCCAACTCTTCTGTGGCCTTCCTTAAGATTTCTGGGTTTTTCAATAGCTCAGACATTGCCCATTCCACAATTATGTTGGAGGTATCCATGGCAGCTATCACAAGGTCCTGACAAGCATACAAAGCATATGTCATTAACTTATTTTACGTAGGTATACATTTGTTCTTCTGAATAGTTCAGTACATATGGCTTAATTATTATATGTCTGTATATCCTGTTGAATTTATATATATCTACCGTATGCTTTATTAGCAATGATAAAAGTTTTATTGAATTTATTTGCTCTAACCAAACACGTCAGAGATAATCCCATGATAAAGTTAGAAAACCTTATGCTTCCAACAATTAAATAAAAACGAAAAGAAAGTAAAAAAATCCAAATTGTCTTAATTTTGTCTCAAAAGGTAGTCATGATCCTGGGATAAACAAAGCATATTCAGATATAACGAACAAAAGAAATTATTAAGCTTTGGTTTAAACGATACATAACTTGAAGAGAGAAATTAGAAAAAGAGAGAAAAATATAGTAGAAAGACTCGAAATTGAATATACACAGGTGTATGTACCTGAGTTAATGCTTTGACTACGTGCCTTTGAAGTTTAACCTCAAGAGTGGGGTCTTCAGCAAGCTGCAAAAGCACATCCACCATGTCTTTGGCCGCATAATCTTCAACCCCTTTTCTCCTCTCGTCATGCTCATTCAACACATGCTCCAGAAACCTATCAAACTTCACACTAAAATCCTTCATTCTCTTTGTGTAACCCTGCAAGTCCAAGAAATTGAGCCAAGGGATCAGATCCCCAATATTCCCAAACGAATTCAGCAAGAAAAACTCATCCACCAGTCTTCTGAACTCTTCCCAGCTGATAAATCCACTCTGATCCTTCTCCACGTACTTCTTGCCCAGAACCGTGCGACTTATAATATTTAGGTTTAAAGCATAAAGGTAATCTCTCAGCAGTACGGGCTTGCCCGAAGAAATGAAAAGCTCGTTCAACATACATTTCATCTCTTCCTTTCTGATATACTCGCTGGATTCTATGCTTCTCTGAGAAAATAGTTGTTTGAAGGATATCTTGCGGGCCTGGCGCCTGTGCGGGCCGTAGGGGGCCCAGAGAATATCGGAGTAATTGTAGACTGTGTACTTTCCGGCGGTGGTTTTTGGTCTGGATGAGAAGGTGTTTCCGTGGGTTTGGAGAAAGGCTTTAGCGACATCGGCTGAGGATACGACGACGACGTCTTTGAAGCCTAATTTGAGATGCAGAATGGGTCCATATTTTTGGGAGAGTGCACATAAGGAGGAGTGAGGAACAGGGCCTATGAGGTTGAGGTTCCCGATGATAGGCCATGGTTTTGGTCCCGGAGGCAGGTTATATCGGCGGCGGCGGAGACGGCTGAAGAGGAGGAGGAAGAAGATGAAAGGGATAATGATTGCTGGCCATGATGCGAACTCCATTTCCATCTGTCGGAGGGGGCTGTGATGGTTAGCCTGTCTCAGAAGGAAAGATATTATATAGACAGAAAGTACTAAAAAAATTAGACCCGTACAGTTTTGAAATTGCTGACGAAAACCACGTTTAAAACTTAGCATCTTCCGGCCAGTTTATTAATTTTTACAATTTGAAGAATGACTCAGATGGGATCCGTTTAAAACTTGCAACATCTTCCCAGTTTTATCAAATAATCGAATAAAATAAAATATAAACCTCTAAATGTTGTGGAAATTAATCCTAATGGTCCCCCAAAAATGCTTACATCACATCCGCGGAATACTTCTCTTGGTTGTGATTGGTGGTCCTATGCCTTTTTATTCCATTTAATCAAATAATCAATTGCTCTTTGAAGGTCATGATATAATTCTTCAATATCTTAACCTGATTACATGATACGGTGCCAATTAAAAGGTGTTTGGGTAATCTCAAAATTACTTATTAAAAGTATTTTTTCCTAGATCAAGGCAAATTTCTCTAAATAGTTACTTCATATACTGTAGAAACTCTTTTAAAACCACGGTTGTACTTATACCCAAACACCCCTAAATCTTTATATGTGATTCCTTACGTGCATACTATTCAGTTTTACCCTTTGTCAACAATATGTCCAACGTCAATTGAGTTCTCTCCAAAGATATCAACAACACAGCAAACATCTGTAGAAAAACTTTCAGAGTTAAAGATGCCAATTGTAGATTGGTTGTTGAATCTCTGATAAGGGTCTATGTTGGAAAATATTGATATTTCAGAATTAATCATGAACCTTAGTTGATTAAAACTCTTTCACAATCAGAAATTGCTGAGGCTGTTGTTCAGCTTGCATCTGTTAGTGTGGAGGGTTTCCATGCTAGATTTTTTTTTTCCAAAATAAAAAAATTGGAGTTTGATCAAAGAAGATGTATGTGCTATAGTCCTATAATCCGGGCTTTCCTAGAGAGCACAATGAAAACAACTATATCACTCCCATTCCCAAATGCTCAACTGGTTGATGAAGATATGTTCCTTTCTTTTATCTTCCACTTTCAGTCAGTCTATTGCTTTCAGACTCTAACGTTCTCTAACGTTCTCTTCAAATTTGATGTTATGCCCAAAAGACAAAAGAATTCATTCATTAGTAGCTTTGGTTTTACAACACGAGTGATCCAAAAGAGACGTTTGGATCAATTGGGGAAAAAAAAAGTTTTTTGTGATTTATCAAAACAAAACTCCTTATATATATATATATATATATATATATGTTTGCTTCGTATAACACGAAGTTAATCTTCCATGGTTAATCCAGACACTCAAATATCACAAAGACTGCCCAGCTCAACCAATATTTCAATTTAATTATAAGTAGTCATTGCCATCCCCACCGCCCAAACATAAAAAAACCTTTGACGACCCAGTTTTAACATGCTTCTTGAAAGTGCTGTTAATAACTATTAGAAAAACTCGTTCTATAAAACAATTCTACGAAACTCTTTCAAGAATATACAAACACAAAACGTAATCCAATTAACCATTTGGTGATTGGACTCACTCACCGGACCAGAGGGAACCGATGACTTGATATTCTTAGAAGTCCGATAATTTTGTCAGATATTTCCGAGGATAACATAATGATGTAAAGAGAGCAAGAGTACATACTAGAAAGATTTGGCAGTTGGTCAGTTAGGACATTTTCAACTGTAAAGGCTTACAGTTAGTTATATAGGACAGATGAGCCTATGTAAACATGGGCTCTGTCATTTTTCCATATTCAGATTGTTCATTCTATATTGTCAATGTTGTTCGGATGGGCTGCGAGCAAGAGAAGTTCACATGGTATCAAAAGCCGGTCCGCTAAGTGCCCGTTTGGATTAGCGGTGAACAACTGTGACTTTAGATAATCGTGAGTTTTATAAGTGACACTGGTTAATAGTGATTTCTGTTTGGATATTTTTTTTATAAGTGATTTTAAGAATTGTAATTATGTTTGGTTTTCATTTATTAAAATCACTTTTGGGTGTATAATTACTAAAAAGGATATGAAATTAATAAAGTTGTTTACATTTTCATAATTATTATATTTAATGATAAATTTTATTAAATATAATTTAATAAATGACACGAATATTTAAATATTATTTTTATTTTAAAATTATTATAATTTAAAATCACTTACAAAATTTATGTGTAGTACAAATATTAAATAAAAGACCCCATATAAGAAAAAGGAATCAAGAAACAATCACAAGTATTCAAGGCGGTCATTCACAAGAGGCATCGTGAGGATTCAAAATTGTAAATTTGTGAGAATAAGATGAGTGAATTCTGACTTGCATAAAGAAAGTGAACAAATAAAGAAGAAAACATACCTTTTGATTGCTTGATTGATCCAAGAAGGCGAGATGACGGCCTTTTAAGAGAAAATTTGAAGTGGTTTAGCCGTTTAGGTTGAAAAATTGTAGGTAAAATATATGGAGATAATATTTAAAAAGAGATTTTTGGAAGAGTAAATGCAGAGATATCATTTTAGAAAAAATAACAATAATAAATATAAAAATAAGCTGAAAAATTATTTGTCATCATTATTTTCTTAATTTAACAATGCTCCTCGAGTTAGAATATTACTTGAATATTTGATTGCGTTGTTTCAATCATATGTCATCCGTTATCTGATTTTTTTAAAAAATGTCTTTTAGATAAAATTAAAAGAAAAACAGTTTCATATTGTGTTTTTTTTTAAAATTAAAATAATTACCATTAGATGAGGGGTAGATTGGAGAAAATTTAGTTATCGAAGATTCATCGGGATTTTTCAAACGCGTAAGCTACCTCTTTTTGCTTATTCTAAAAGTGCAGTGGAAGGTTAAAATCACGACTCATTAGGATTCTATAAAAATAATCCAAACACCCTAAACATGCTTCATAAGCACTTATTTGAATTTAAACGGGCTTATTTGAGATCCTACCGCTTAACCAAACAGGCTCTAAGTCTGAACCTTGTTTTTTGTGGGTGAGTTTCGCTTCCGCTTATCCGCACAATTTTGTTCATGTTGAAGATTTATTTTTAAAATGACAGCAAATCATTTAATTTATGATTATGATTTCCCCCATTTGTTAGGAGTTAGATAAAATTCTCATCACAAACTTACTTCATATTTCATAAATCACAATTAAAAAATTGCTTTTAAAAGTTCAAGTCGTCATTCCAAACAAGTTAGACTTTTAGCAAAGATCAAATAAATTACATTTAAATATTTATACTTTAAGAGCTTAAATCTTATAGCTTTATCCATATACTTCATCATGCATTTATCATCTAAGAATTAAATGGGCAAGTGTATCCTTTCTATTTGCATTTTTTTTAATAAATTAAGCCTTGGTTTTTTGGGTCATTTTACAAATTCATGTTCTTTAATATCCCCCGGGGTACTTTTGGGTAGTTTTCCCCACATTTTTTTTTGGGGTCAAACAATCCGCTGCTATGCTAGGTATGACAAGGGGGTCACTATCATTTTGTTTTTCAGCCAAACATGTCGTTAGCTTTGAAGAAGAAAAATATATGTGCTGAATGTGGAAAGGGACCGCGAGAGAGAGAGAGAGAGGGAGAGGGGGAGAGAGAGATTTATTCATATATATATATATATAGCAAAAATAGTACTCCTCCTGTCCTTAATATAGGACCCAATTTTTGAGTTGGTTTTGGTTCTAAATATAAGACCCATTTCTCATATTTATCAATTTTCTCTAGATTACCCCTATAGATATTCTCTCAACCATAATTAAGTAGAAGAGGGAGAGGGGGTATTAAGAAAGATGATTATGGTATTTTAGGAAAAATGTGTCACTTTTTTTATAATTAACTAACTTCTTTAATCTAATCAAATTAGTTAAATGGGCCTTATATTAAGGACCGGAGGAGTATAAGCGGACAACAGCAACGGTGGAGCATCAATCAATCAGAGTCAAGCTTGTCTCCATATAGCTCCAAGCTACGTCCTTTTTTCACAGGTGGAATCTCAGCCATCTACTTTATCATTTTTGGGGTGTTTGGAACACTCTATAATCACTTTTTAAAAGCATTTTTTTGTAAATTGAGACAAACTCTTCTATATATTTACTACGTATACCGTAAAAGCATTTTTGAAATCATAGTTTTATTCTTACCCAAACACTCTCTTAATCTGGACCATTAGTTGATGGCCTAATCTGCAGAGAAGACACACCGACGTCGAGCTGGCAACTTCTTCCTTTGCCTCTCTCCCTCCCTCTCTGCGAAGGCTTCTGTCCATTTCCTCCTTGCCAACCCCACACCCCAAACACACTGTTTATTATTACACACACACACACTCTTTGAAACCTTAGATATTGCCACCTACTTCCTGACCTATTTATAAGAAATAAGTTATAGTTAAATTTTAACAACCACTTGTTCCTTATCAATACGGTAGAGGGTAGTTTTTCCACAAGCGGACACACAAAATCACGGGGAATAGAGATGAGATGAAAGCCTAGGCCTAATAACAGCTTCAAGTGGTTGTTTTCTCATGTTACTAAGCCTGCAATTCTCTTCCATGTTCAGGTCCTCCTTCTTCATATGCTCCGGCAAGCTCCATGAAAAGCCATGCACCAAATTGGCCAAGCTTACATGGACGACTTTAAGAGCAAGAGGATAACCAGGGCAGATCCTTCTTCCAGCCCCAAATGGCAATAACTCAAAGTGGTGTCCTGTCACATCAATATTCTTACCTATGAACCTCTCCGGGTAGAACTCATTAGGGTTGTCCCAAATTGCAGGGTCTCTTCCAATAGCCCACACATTGACGATCACTTGGGTCCCTTTTGGGATGTCATACCCTACAACTTTGGAGTCGCCGTCTATGGCTGACGTCGTCGGAGGCAACAACGATGCTACCGGGTGCAATCTCATTATTTCTTTGGTAATGGCTTCAATGTAAGGCAAGTTCACTATGTCCTTCTCTTCAACCCATCTGTCTCTTCCGATCACTCTGTCTAACTCTTCTGTGGCCTTCCTCATGATTTCTGGGTTTTTCAATAACGCCGACACTGCCCATTCTATAGTTGCTGCTGAGGTATCTATCGCACCTATCAAAAGGTCCTGAGAGATATATAGGCACATATACAAATCATGTTATATATTAACATTTTGTTAGCACGTAAATATTTGTTTTTCCCAATAATGCTCTGCATGTATTACTATCCAATTAAGTCGAAGCCTTTGTCTTTGGCATAAATTTTAGACTACATGCAAACTGACAACTGCAGTCCAGACAGAGACTGGAAAGATAATATCTCTTTCACATCATCACGTGGGACGACAAGAGCAAGATCAATACATGTAATTGATTAAGGAGAAAATAAAATAAAAAAAACCAGTTAACTTTTAAAAAAAAAAGGAAAAATTAATTTGGAGGTGTTTCTAGCTTTCATCAGTTTTGAATCCAGTCCTTATGGGTTTTTTTTCTCTCTCTATTGAGTTCTCAATATCTTCTCCTTCCCTGCTATCTTCCTGATCTCAACTAGTTTTTATATTTAACGAGGAAGGTAGTAATTTTCACAGGTCAGTGATTGGAATTGTGACGATTGCTGTTAAAATTACGTGCCCCGAAAGCATCGCATTCCTGGCTGTACCATCAACCTCCAAGTTTCAAACTTAGAGATTCAGTATGTCAAAAAATTTTAAAATTATTTGCAGCCAAGTGTACGAAGCGTTTTGTGAAGGGTTGAAGTTGAACTCATATTGTTTACTTAAAAAAAGAAAAAGAAAAAAGAAGACAAACCTTTTCATAACAACATGATTTTTTTTGTGGCTTTTTTAATATTGTTTGAAGTGAAAAACGACGTGAGGAATTCATCTACAGGGTAATGTATTTTTCCTGATAAGCCAAAAGTTACTGCTTCTCAAAAGTTTTTTTTATAAATTAAGATAAATTTTTTTATATATTTACTTCGTATACTATAAAAATACTTTTAAAATTATAGTTTTGATTCTATCCAAACACATTATAGTGGAAAGCATTTTTCTCTCTCTATAGATTGAAACTCCAGTCTGTCACCAAAAAAAGCATGAAGCTCCAGTCACTCTTCTTCCATTCCCAAGCTTCCATTTGTGGCAATCGAAGGCGACATGATAAAGCCCCATTTTTTTAACATAAAAAATATATATTATACGAAGAGATGGAGTGGGGAGCTTGGTTTCAAATTAAGCTTGGGATATGATGGAAGAGATAGACCGACATGATTTTTCAAATCAAGAAGATGTTCCAGAGCTGTGCTTCTAACGGAAATTTTAACTGGGTTTGTTTTTATTAAACAGCACGAACTAACAAATCTAACCACAAAAAATTTAAAAACTTAATAAAAAGGAAAAAAAGCCCGGAGACTTAATTCAAAACTGATAAAAACTACAAGGACCTCCAAATTATTTTTTTAAAAAAAACAAATAAGAGATTTTGATAAATTTTAACTTGTAAAAATTATTACAAGAGTAGTGAGTATGATTTTTTTTAATTATTGTTTAATTTAACAGGTATTTTTCCTTTATTTTCTCTTGATTAAATAAAAGTTTGAATTTTTCGTTTCTGAAAATGCATAGCCACACGTCAGAGCTAATCCCAATCTAAACAAAAGGTACGGATTTTGTTATGCAAGGATCAGATAACCTGAACTTTATTTTATACACAGACACACACACATATATAAATATTTATAAATATTTAGTTTGATGACAAGGTTGTGATATCAACCTAAAAATTTCTAACAATTAAATAAATAAAATATATGAACGTGTTAAGATAATAATGAAAAAAAAGTTTCTTTTCTCTGCTTAAAAGAGCAAAAATCTAAATTATCTTAATTAGTTTCATCTAAAAAATAAAAATAAATTTAGATAAACAAAATGTTCAGAAATATAAGAAACAAAACCCAATTATTAAAGTTTGACACAAACGACGATAAAAAATTTGAAGAGGTAAACAAAGGAGAAAAATTACCTGAGTTATTCCTTTGACACTGTTCCTTTCAAGCTTGACCTCAAGAGTGGGATCTTCAGCGAGCTTTAAAAGCAAATCCACCATGTCCTTGGCCACATAATTCTCAACACCTTTCCTTCTTTCTTCGTGCTCATTTAACACATGTTCCAGAAACCTATCAAACTTCACACTGAAATCCTTCGTTCTCTTTATATAACCCTGCAAGTCCAAGAAACTGAGCCAAGGTATCAGATCCCCAATATTCGCAACCCCAGTATTGATCAAGACAAACTCATCCACCAGTTTTCTGAACTCTTCCCAGCTCACAAAGCCACTTTGCCCCTTCTCCACGTACTTCTTCCCCGACACCATGCGACTTATAATATTCAGGTTTAAACTATAAAGGTAATCCTTCAGTAATACGGTCGTGCCCGAAGAAATGAACAGTTCCTTCAGCATAGTTTTCATCTCTTCCTTTCTGATGTACTCGCTGGATTCTATGCTCTTCTGAGATAATAATTGTGTGAAGCATATCTTGCGGGCTTGGCGCCAATGTGGGCCGTAAGGGGCCCAGAGAATATCGGAGTAATTGTAGGCTGCGTACTTTCCGGCGGTGGCTTTTGGTCTGGATGAGAAAGTGTGGCCGTGGGTTTTGAGGAAGGCTTCGGCAACGCCGGCGGAGGATACGACGACAAAGTGTTTTAAGCCTAGCCTGAGATGCATAACGGGTCCATATTTTTGGGAGAGTGCACTTAAGGAGGAGTGAGGAACAGAGCCTATGAGGTTGAGGTTCCCGATTATAGGCCATGGTTTTGGTCCGGGCGGCAGGTTAAATCGGCGGTGGCGAAACTGCCGGAAGAGGAGGAGGAGGAAGGGGATAAAGATAGCTAGCCATGTTGCCAAGTTTTTTGCCATCAGTCGGTGGGGTTTGTGATGTAATGGGAAGTGTGCAAGTTTGAGAATCGGAGAAAGGCATTATATATAGCTCGCCATGCGTGTCTTTGCTCCTCATATTATTCGGAAAAATTTCAACCCAGAGATTTACGAAGAAAACAATTCAACGTTATTAGAAAAAAAATATTTAAAATAAACTGAGCATAAAAATTAGGGTAAAGGTTCAACTAGCATCCTAATTTATTTTCTTAAATTTATTTTCAGGGTGCTGGATGCACCTAAAAAAATAGATTGAAATGCTGGCTGTACTTTTACCCTAAAAATTAATGTACACTACCTCCTGTGTTAAATATAAAACCTCAATCTATTTTTTTATATTTTTCAAAATATTTCTATTAATTATAAAAAGTTTCTACCAAAAGACAATTGTAATCATTCAATGCATATAATTGAAAGAAGATAATTTAAAGAGATCAATGTACAAATAACCAACTTAACTAATTTTTTAATATCGCTAAATTAGTTAGGAAAAATGGTAAATAAAGACTCCCAATATGTAAAATTATGATTTGGGATCCTCAATTTGAAAAATAGCAAATAAAAATCCGGTCTTATATTGTAAATATGAAATCTTAGTGAAATGTTTGAAATCACGACTCAAATATGCCAAATGACAAATTGACTATGAGAAATGACAAGTTCACTTTAATGAATGACAATTTTAATAGATCAAATTACAACTTGGCTGAGGGTATGCCAAATGACAAGTTGACTATGGGAAATGACAAGTTCACTTTAGCAAATGATAACTTTAGTAGACCAAATCACAACTTGGCTGAGGGGCATTTAAGACACTTCACTAAGATCTTATATTTGTAATATGGAATCAGGTCTTTATTTGCTATTTTTCAAATTGAGAGTCTCAAATCATAATTTTATATATTGGTAGGTTTTTATTTGCTATTTTTTCAATTAGTTATCTCATTTCTATGCTAAATTTGACGTATTTCAGTCGGTTAGTAAGTAGAAAATTTTAACGAGATGACCCGGGGGGGGGGGAGCCACAGGTTAAAGAAGATGATGATGGACAGATGGCACCCCATCAAAACATCATCTCTCATCAAACCACGGAACGAGCCACACGTGGCGATGGAAAGAGGAGGACGTAGCTAATTTTCCTGCTGGTGTTGCTCATCTTCCATTTCTGTATCTTTGGCCAAAAAAAATCTTCCATTTCTCTATCTTCAGCAATAATAATCATCATAATTCATTTCATGAATATCACCATTAACACGTGCCCTTCAATTTAATTTCTCTCTCTCTCTCTCTGATCAAAATTCGCCCTCATATCTGTTTCTTTTTCAAATGATGTCGACTCATTCTACACATTCCCAGTACAGCAACTTGCATTCACTATTCTGGACTTTATCTTATTGGTTCGAACTTGTAATTAAGTTAAAATATACACTAATTTAACCATATTCTCACCGAACCCCCACCAAAGCCTAATTAATTCTAATTCATTGTTGGCACCAGAAACAGAGCATCAATAATCATTCAAACAAATCCAAATTCCTCATATGTATGTTGCTCTATATCATCAATCCATTACGTACGGCAACCAAAAACCTCAAATGTAAAACATGCAATGTATTAAAGCTATTCTCATCAGAAATAAAAATTAAAGCATAAAATTCAGAGGCAAATAGAAGAAACAACACATTCAAATAATGCTAAATAATTAAAAAAAGTGTGATCTAGCAGTTAATATGAGTTTGATTGGTTGAGGGGAATGGAGGGAAGAAAAAATTTACTACTGGTCTTTAATATAAAAGTTAATTGATTAATTTAAAATAAATAGGCGTTGTTTTATTTAAAATATCATTACTAATTATATGTATTAATTAGAACTACTATTTGATGAAATATTTAACATATATAACTACTCCTAGGACTAACTTAAAAAAATAGACAAATATGATAAACAACGTGACTTAGAATCTTATATTTAGAATCAAATTGAATGTCAAACTAATTATTACTAATTTAACCCAACTGCATGTCTCTTCCGATGCCTTCCTCATGATTTCTGGGTTTTTCAACATCTCTGACATTGCTCATTATATAGTTACTATTGTGCTATCTATTGTAGCCATAAAAAGGTCCTTGAGGAATATATAGCCATACAAAACCTGTTATTAGCTTTCTACGAAATTTATGTTACCTCTAGTCCTAGTTAAAAAGTAAAAAGTAAGAAATCTGCATCATTATAGTTTTATCTAAAAAAGTTTAGCATGATTTTGAGCCAATATACAACAAACAAATTAAATTACAACAATTCGATTAAAGTCTCATAGATGCAAAACTTGAAGGAAAAGAATAGGGCGAACATATAATAAAGCAAAAGGCAACCAGACTTTGCTCTGTAGAAAAATATCTTTCACAGGACCATTAATCAATGCCATTTGGGACAAAACAGTTTTGTTTGTGTGCGTGCTCATAATGTGCCCGTGAATGCATAGCCTGATAGCCACATGCCAAAGCTAATTAATTACCCGCAAAATAAGCAAAAGGTATTGGAAAAAAGACAGAAAAATGCACCTTTAACTTTAGAAGCCCAAAAACATTCGTTGAATTCAAGAAATCCCATTTTGGTACCATGAGACCAAATTGGGATTATTATGTGAAAGGAAAAGACCAAATTGCCCTTCATTTTAAATATTATTTTTAAAATATCATAGCCCCTACTGGCCGGCAGGTCACCGGACCTCCGGCGACCAGCCGACAATTGGTTACCGGAGCTCCGTCGGTTGGAATTTTTTTTTTTTGAAAATTTTTACAACTTCAATATAATGATTAACAACTTTTGTAATGCGATTAACAACTTCAGTATAGCAATTAACAACAGCTTTTCTGGGAAATTCAACAAACTCCGGCGACCGGAAACAATTTTTTTGAAAATTTTTACAACATCAATATAACCGTTAACAACTTTTGTAACGCCATTAACAACTTCAATATAGCAATTAACAACAGGTTTTCTGGGAAATTCAACAAACTCCGGCGACCGGAAATAATTTTTTTGAAAATTTTTACAACTTCAATATAGCGGTTAACAACTTTTGTAACCCTATTAACAACTTCAGTATAGCGATTAACAAAAACCTTTTGTTAATCGCTATACTGAAGTTGTTAATAGGGTTACAAAAGTTGTTAACCGCTATATTGAAGTTGTAAAAATTTTCAAAAAAATTATTTCCGGTCGCCGGAGTTTGTTGAATTTCCCAGAAAACCTGTTGTTAATTGCTATACTGAAGTTGTTAATGGCGTTACAAAAGTTGTTAACGGTTATATTGATGTTGTAAAAATTTTCAAAAAAATTGTTTCCGGTCGCCGGAGTTTGTTGAATTTCCCAGAAAAGCTGTTGTTAATTGCTATACTGAAGTTGTTAATCGCATTACAAAGTTGTTAATCATTATATTGATGTTGTAAAAATTTTCAAAAAAATTATTTCCGGTCGCCGGAGTTTGTTGAATTTCCCAGAAAAGCTGTTGTTAATTGCTATACTGAAGTTGTTAATCGCATTACAAAAGTTGTTAACCGTTATATTGAAGTTGTAAAAATTAAAAAAAAAAAATTCTGACTGACGGAGCTCCGGTGACCAATTGTCTGCTGGTCGCCGGAGCTCCGGTGACCGCCGCCGCCGGAGGTCCGATGACCGGCCAGCCAGTAGGGGCTGTGATATTTTAAAAATAATATTTAAAATGAAGGGCAATTTGGTCTTTTCCTTTCACATAATAATCCCAATTTGGTCTCATGGTACCAAAATGAGATTTCTTGAATTCAGCGGACGTTTTTGGGCTTCTGAAGTTAAAGGTGCATTTTTCTGTCTTTTTCCCAAAGGTATTTGTTTAAATAAGACTGAAATAATTTGAAAAAATCAAAAATAAAGAGAGGGGAAAAAACGGAGTATTTGTTTTAAAATGGGCATTTGAGTGAAACGAAATCATAATTTTAAAAATAGTTTTATAAGAAAAATTATATCTTAATTTAGGTGAACAATTTTTTTAAAAGCCTTTTTGAATTCTAAGCACCACCCCAAATCTGGCACGCAGGCGCTTGCTAATGCGTTGGTCTTAGAGTGGGATCCACCTATAAGCCGCAAGCCCAAAGCAATTTGGACCTGCCCTTTGCTGTTTCCGTGCAAGCAACAAACCTGAATGAGCGAGGAAGTACGTTTTTCATTGCTTAATCGAGATCCTACCCCAACCATGCGCACCTGAAACACAATGTTCATGCATAATATGCAAACCTCGCCATACATAATTAACTAAGGAAAATAATAGGTAGAACTTGTACTTTAATTTAAAATAATAATAATTAAGGTTTTTCATTGTCATCATTAATATGTAGTACGTGTTGTTCTTGATATAAAAACTAGTTTATTAATTTAGACAGATTAAAAAAGTTATTGAATTGCTTAATCATAATATATATTATATGATCTCTCTAAAATACTTTTTGTGAATTATTAGATTATATATCAATTTATTAGTAAGATAAATTAGTTAAAAGAAAAACAATAAATATAAATAGTTTAAAATAATTTAGTAATTTTCATAATATTTTATTGGATAGTATCATGAGTCCATAAATGTTATTTTCCTCACGTATATATACATATAATCACTAGCCAGAGATAAAGATGAGATGAAAGTCTAGGCTTAATCACAGCTTCAAGTTTAATTTCCTCCAAGTTCAGGTCTGCCTCCTTCATGTGATCCTGCGAGGTCCACAAATTTGCCAAGCTCACCAGAACGACTTTAAGGGCAAGATGATAACTACAAGGCCACATTCTTCTTTCGGTTCCAAATGGCAATAACTCAAGAGTGATCTCCATTCACATCAATATCCTTAATTACCTGTGTATGAACCTCTCTGGGTAAAACTCATTAGAGTCATCCCGTGTTGCAGGGTCTTTGCCAATAGCCCACGCGTTGACTATTAGTTGGGATGTCATACTCTAACCTTCTCTTCAACTCATCTTTCTCTTCTGATCACTCTGTCTAACTCTTCTGTGGCCTTCCTCATGAGTTTTGAGTTTTTCAACAGCTCTCACATTGCCTATTCTATAACTGCTGCTGACTTATCTATCGCAACCATCAAAAGATCCTTGAGAACACTACAAAAAAAAAACAGCTGATTAGTGACGGAATTTGCGACAGAAACAAATTTCGTTGCTAATTTCTAACGGAATTTGCGATAGAAACAAATTCCGTCACTAATTTTTTTGACGGATTAGCGACGGAATTTTTGTCTGTCACTAAATTTTGTCAGAAGACGGAATTTAGCAACGGAAATTTTTTCTGTCAGAAATTTCCGTCGCTAAATTGTTTGTCATAGAAGTTTTTGTCACTAATTCTATTCGGTCGCAATTTCGTTGCTAATCCGTCACTAATTTTAAATTTTTTTATTTTAAATTATAATCTTACAAAAATTATATAATAACAATTAAGAATATAATGCTTTTAAAACATTTTTAATTATAAAATAAATTGATATACTTATGGAGTTGGTGTTAATAATGATATCGTCGTCATTCATGTTATCATTATCTATATATTGAAAATAGAAAGACAATTTCTTAGAAAACTTATTTATATTTTGTTAAAATAAATTCCTCTTGATTATTAATAATAATTAAAAAAATATAATAAGAATATTAATAACTTTCTTATACAAACTGATATAAGAAAAAAATAATTTTATCATATGTAAAATATATTGAAATATATAATGTATGATAGAAATTCAAAATGATTTAATAAATTTATATGAATGCAAATTAATATTGAATTGAATTTTGAATTTCAATCATTAAACAATAAAATTTAATCACGATATATAATTAATACCTATGATATAGATTGATTTTGTTCTTTAATACAAAAACAAATAGTATATACAAAGAATTTTAAGAAAATAAATTACATAGGATGTATATATAAGTAGGAGAATATTGTGTATCATAATCTATTCAAATCATTTAATTTTTTATATAGAATAATTTATTAGATTTTATTATAGTAGTTATTTTTTGAATAACAAGATTTTTTGACTAATTGTAAATGATTTTCTTCAAATATATAAAACAAATATAGATAATATAATATAATGTAATATAATACATATATCATTAAATTGTATATCTTATCAATGTTAATTAAAAATAAATTTAAAAAATATTTATAAAAAATTATTTATGATTTAAAATTCAAAATTAGTGTCGTTAGAAATTCAAATCATATTAAAAATATTTTTTAAAAAAATAAATCATTATAAAAAAATATTTAAAAAATATTTTTTCATTAAAATAGTTATGATTAAAATTATCATATAGTATAATTTTAGTTTTTAATAATATATATGTATATATAATTGTTTGTGTAAAATAATATTTTATATATATATATTTAATTTTACATAATAAGTCAACAGGTTCATTTTACTCCATATTTTTCCTTTCCTAAATATAATAGGACCTAGTAAAATGGTTTCATTTGATTCTAAATATAAGATTTTAATCCATTTTGTTCATAAATTTATACATTTTTCCCCATACTATTGATTGCATATGTTAATGAGAGTTTTTAATAACGTGGATAATGATTGAATTAGGTATTTTAAGAAAATTAATACATATTTATTTTGAATACATAAATAAATAAATTAATTTTTTTAATTTTTATATATTAGTTATTAATCCCCTTACTTTTAGGACAAAAGAGATACTTTACTTGATAATTTCCGCCACTTCTTCTAGAAATCTTGACTCGGCCTGTAATCCAATGCATTCTAAGAAATGGATATTTTTTTAAATAAAATTTAAGAAATCTCTGTCCCAGCTTTTCACATTAAACTAAAGCCTTGAATCCCAGTCAACTGCTTCTTATCTTGTTAATTGTTTGCCTCTTAGAAAGTAATACTACTTGTCCTTAATATAAAAATTAGTTGATTAATTTGAGTATATTAAAAAAATTTATTAAGTAAGTTATTTGTAATAAATAAGTGTTATTTTTTTTAGAATATCCTTACTAATCATATGTATTTGCTAGAATGATCATTTAATGAAACATTTAACATATACAACTATTATAAAGACTAGCTACCTTGTGAAAAATAAATAAATATGAGAAATAAAATGTATTAAAGTTTTATATTTACAATGAAATAAAATGTTAAACTAGTTTTTTATATTAAATACATGAGGTAATATATGCATAACTAGCGCTCGCTTGAAATTTTCATTACTTCAATCTAACCTTGCTGGCAAATTAAAGCTAATATATAAAGTTGCTGGATCATCGTTCGTGAGGGCAATATACAATAACTAAAAGCTTTTTGATCATTTGATCGCATCAAGCATAATTAAGCTGAATTATAAGCAATTTATGATGTATTTAATATTTGAATCTTGCATGGAATGTTGGGTTTAGAAGATCACGGCTTAAAAGTTATAGTCTAAGAGCCATCCAACTGCTTAATCGAAACACAATCTCCATTCATAATAAAATTGCAAACCTTACGATCCATTGAGTGATTATATAATAAGGAAAATAATGGGTATCACTAGTCCTTAGATGTTATTTTCCTTACACACGCATATATTATCACTAGCTAGAGATAAAGATGAGATGAAAGTCTAGGTCTTAAAACGGCTTCAAGTGGTTGTTTTCTGAGACTTGTAAGCCTATAGGTTTCCTCCATGTTTAGGTCCGTTTCCTTCATATGATCCGGCAAGTTCCACGAAAATCCATGCACCAAATTTGCCAAGCTCACAAGAATGACCTTAAGAGCAAGAGGATAACCAGGGCAGATCCTTTTTCCAGCTCCAAATGGCAATAACTCAAAGTGGTTCCCTGTCACATCAGTATCCTTACCTATGAACCTTTCTGGGCAAAACTCATTAGGGTTGTCCCAAATTGTAGGATCTCTGCCAATAGCCCACGCGTTGACGATCAGTTGGGTTCCTTCTGGGATGTCATACCCTACAACTTTAGAGTCACCATTTGTGGCAACCCTTGGAGGCAACAAGGACGCTGCAGGGTGCAATCTCATTGATTCTTTGTTAATGGCTTCAATATAAGGCAAATTGACTAAGTCTCTCTCTTCCACCCATCTGTCTCTTCCAATCACTCTGTCTAACTCCTCTGTGGCTTTCCTTAAGATTTCTGGGTTTTTCAACAGCTCAGACATAACCCATTCTATAGTTATTATTGCGGTATCTGTTGAAGCCATTAAAAGGTCCTGAGAAATATATAAAACCATACAAAACATGTTATTAACTTTCTGTGAAAATTTATATTTGTTTTTCACGATAATTCACTTCATATATATTGTTTAACTTCTGTGTGTCCCTGTTGGGTTTAATCATAAATATGCATATCTCTTCATTTTTCTTCTTAGTTAAGATACTCGAAATGGCTTATTCTAAAATCCTTCATGCTTCTGGTTCTTAATATAAAAGCTAGAGAACTAATTTATGAATATTGAGAAATTAGTAAAATATTTGTAATAAATGAGTACTATTTTTCCTAAAATACTGTGTTGGAATGAAAATTCTATAACATGCAATCACTATCAAAACTATTTTGAGACAAATGAATAAATATAAAAAACAAAATGGATTGATATCTTATATTTATAACTAAATTAAATCTCTAACTAGTTTTTATATTTAATAGGGGAGGGGAGGTAGTATTACGTGCTGCAACTTTTTAAAAGGAAGGATGTTAACAAAAGGGTGAAATTGACCATTTTTAATATATGAAGGATAAAGTTAAACCAGAACTGAATTCCCTAGAAAAATATTTTAGTACGTTGAAATCGACTACACCTAAGAATATATTAGAGAAAAATAAAGCAGAAATAAGCAGAATTGTACATACGCATATATACCTGAGTTAATGCTTTGATACTGTGCCTTTGAAGCTTGACCTCAGGTGAGGGATCTTCAGCAAGCTGCAAAAGAACATCCACCATGTCTCTGGCCACATAATCCTCAACCCCTTTTGCTCTCTCTTCGTGTTCATCCAACACATGCTCCAGAAACCTATCAAATTTCACACCAAAATCCTTCATTCTCTTTATATAACCCTGCAAGTCCAAGAAATTGATCAAAGGGAACACTTCCCCGATATTCGCAAACCCATTATTAAGAAAGAAAAACTCATCCACCAGGTGCCTGAACTCTTCCCAGCTAACAATCCCACCTTGACCCTTCTCCACGTACTTCTTCCCCAACACCAGGCGACTTATAATATTCAGGTTTAAACTATACAAGTAATCTTTCACTAATATGGGTTTACCCGAAGAAATGAAAAGTTCGTTCAACATACTTTTCACCTCTTCCTTTCTTATATACTCGCTGGATGCTATTTTTTTCTGAGATAATAGTGTCGTGAGGCATATCTTACGGGCTTGGCGCCAGTGAGGGCCGTAGGGGGCCCAGAGAATATCAGAGTAATCGTAGGCTGTGTACTTTCCGGCGGTGATTTTGGGCCGGGACGAGAAGGTGTTTCCGTGAGTTTTGAGGAAGGCTTTAGCGACGTCGGCGGAGGATACGACGACGACGTCTTTGAAGCCGAACTTGAGATGCACGATGGGTCCGTATTTTTTGCAGAGTTTATAAAAGGAGCGGTGAGGAACAGGGCCTATGAGGTTGAGGTTTCCGATGATAGGCCATGGTTTTGGTCCAGGCGGCAGGTTATATCGGCAGCAGCGGAAATTGCGGAAGAGGAGGAGGAAGAAGAGGAAGGGAATAAAGATGGCTAGCCATGGTGCCAAGTTCATTGCCATCCGTCTTGGGGTTTGTGATGCGAAGTTTTCATGGTTGAGGAAGGCATTTTATAGACAGCAAGGTAGACTCAGTGGCATTGGATCACCAATTATCCGGGCAATATAATATAAGTAAAAGCTTTTTTATTTTGATCATTTCACCTCGTGTTTTTGCATTACAAGATCAACATCAAAAAGCTCCGCATGGCTCAGATACTTTAAATCAAATCAGTTATTAGTGCTTGGTGCACAGTGTAATCAATAGGATGATTTTAAAAAAAATTATAAGTTTGAAAAATAAAGTGGATTGGTATCTTATAAATTTAAAAAGAAGTAAAGCGGAGCATTTGCTCTTTTTGTGGCCCTTGGCAAAGCTTTGATGCTCGGTTTGGATCTCCACTTTCTCTGAAGTTTGAGGGAATTGGAGGATCTAGGTTTGACTGGTGGCTTGAAAATTGGCTATCTGGTGCTGATAGACCAGATGAACAGCAGATTGCTCTTTTCTCAGGTATTTGCTGGTGGATTTGGAAGTATAGATGCATTGCTATTTTTGAAGGTGCTGATGCTAATGCCTATGAGTGTGATTTTAACCTGCAAGGGGTTTAAATCAATGTGCATTGACGCTGGTTTCAGGAGGAAAGATTTGGATGCTGCAGTGGGAATTGTCTGCAGAGATGGGAAGGGGCATTTCATTGATGAGGTCTTTGTCTCCTTTAATTAATTACTGAATATAATGCTTATCTCATTGGACGGCTCTGGATAATGCAGAGAATAAAGGATGTATGGGAAGAAGCCTCAAAATGGAAATTCTGGGTCTTTCACTACTCACGCTCAGATAGTGGGCAAAGAAATCAGACCATGAACGTTAGGTGTAATCATTACTCAGGACAAAATAATTAATGGAGGATCCATCTTTTCGATTCGGAGGCCCTTACTTATACATGCACAGAGTTTGAAATAAATTTGGAGATGGTTCTGTCGGAATGCTATTACTAACTCCGCTTGATAGATAACTAATTAAAAAGATTAGGCAAATCAATTAAGTTGGTTATTTCTAATAAATATATATTGACTTTCCTAAACTACATTTTTAATCACGTGTATTGGAACTATTTTTTAGCAGAACCCTCACAATTAATAAAAATGTCTTGAAGGAAAAAATATAAATTTACCAGATAAAATAAATTAAAATTTTATATTTACCATCGAATTTAATTTTCAACTAGGTAGAACTGAAAGTAATATATATGCGGAAGGACATTGTAAGAAAATGATATTGAAAAGGGACCAAGACCTAAAGAAAATGACGTACCTCCACTGCCCATGTGTCGGTAACCTTTTAGAAGATTTTTTTATTCTATTTGTAAGTCACATTTTTTTGCCATGTAACTGCATATGTCACCTTACATATTCTAATATCATTAATTAATGTTCTATTATATGTACACGCAACGTTTGTGTGCATTAATAATTTAATTATTATAAAGGTAGTAAGACAGAGTAAAAAGTAATGTGATGTTGGAATCCACTATAATTGATTAATAAGATAATAATGAAAAGTAATTGAAAGTAAATTACACGTTTTGGATCAATTGAAGTAAAAGTCTGGTTCCATATATATGTCCAAAACACGGGAGTTTTGTGTAAATGAAAAGCTTAGATTGATTATTAAATTAATTGATTCCCCATTCTAGTTTCACTGTAGAGAGCTTTCTTTTCCGTCTTCTTGTAAATTTCTATACATTCTCTCATTCAATGATATGAAAATCCAGCCAATTATTGAAAAGATTAAGGCACCGGTTCCCAATTAACGGTTAATCTATCATTAAACTTGTCATAAATAAATTAACATGTTCGCCAAAAAAAAAATTAATATATTTTAAATAATATATACTTAATCTAAAAAGAAATAGCCATACTCATTCGTAACCATATAATAAGAATGAATGTTAAAATCCAAATAAATATAATATATACTAAAAAATGCAACATCCATGATTACCCCATAGCCTTAATTCAAGATTCATATGCTTATTTATGACTTATAATATTATAATATTATAATACAGTATATTGGTATGCATTTTTTTTTTACATATTTGTTTATTCGGCATAGATAAACATCAATTGTAACTTGAAAACATGGATTAAAATATATATTAAAAAAAAGGTGACCGGCTTGACCTGAAACACAAGGTACGCGCATGCAATGCAAACTTTACGACACAGTCAGTAACTACAAGCAAGGAAGATAACAGGAAAAACTTGTGATTTAATTTATGATAATGACAATTAAGGTTCTTAATTGTCATTAATAATATGCATCACGAGTCCCTATTAAATATTAGTTTCCTTATACATTTTATATATTATCACCGGTTAGAGATAAAGATGAGATGAAAGTCTAGGCTTCATAAAAGCTTGAGGTAGTACTCCTCCCATCCTTAATATAAGACCTATTTAACTAATTTGATTAGATTAAGAAAGTTAGGTAAGTTAGCTAACTATCATAAATATGACACGTTTTTCCTAAAATACCTTAATTATTTTCATTATATCCTCCCTCCCTCTCATATTTGATTATAGTTGAGAGAGTATCAATAGGAGTGATTTGGGTAGAATTGATAGATATAAGAAATAGGTCTTATATTTAAGATCAAAATCAACTCTATAATTAGGTCTTATATTAAGGACTGGAGGAGTATATAAGTAATCTTACGGTAAAACGGGTTTGCCTAAAGAAATGAAAAGTTACTTCAACATACTGTTCATCTCTTCCGTTTTTGATATACTTGCTGGATGCTAAGCTTTTCTGAGATAATAGTTGCGTAATGCACATCCTGCGGGTTTGGCGCCAATGAGGGCTGAGGGATTTTGGGCGTATCTAGAATACAGATGATTACTCTTGGTACCCACACGTAATTTGGTCACATAGATGGAATCAGATTTTTGATATACAGCAAATGCAGATAAAGAGAGGAGAGAGCGTTTGTGTTTACTTGATATTTCAGTTAAGAGCAATCCACTCAGATATATCCTCAACCTGTTGTGTCAGTTTTTCTCCACGGAGAAAAACTGTTCCCTCCTTAATAATTTTTCAAATAAACATGAAATAGGGTATTTTACTAATACGACCCTGATCTTTCAGTAAATTATAACTGAACCCTATTTATTTTTATTCCAACAAGGGCCGTGGGGGGCCAAAGAATATCGGAGTAATTGTAGGCTGTGTACTTTCCGAAGATGGATTCTGGTAGGAGAAGGTGTGACCGTGGGTTTTGAGGAAGGCTTTAGCAACGTCCGCGGAGGATACGACGACGGCGTCTTTGAAGCCTAACTTGAGAGATGCACAAGGAAGAGTGAGGAACAGGGCCTTTGAAGGTGAGTTTCCCGATGATAGATAGGCCATGGTTTCGGTCCCGGCGGCAGGTTATATCGGCAGCGACAGTAATGCCGGAAGAGGAGGAGGAGGAAAGGAAGGGGATAATGTGATGAGCATAAGCCCAAAGGGAGAGCCCAATCCCAAAAGACTAGCCTATTGGGAGGGAGAGCCTCTTGAACTTATAAACCCCACAATACTTGTGAAATTCCCCAATGTGGAACTCATAACAGAGCACCCCTCTCGAGAGCCGACATCCCCGGCGACTCCACTCTACGACACTTCACTCGGTCTTCTTACCGGTCAGAACCCTCCGTAAGTAGCCCTTTCCGGTTGGCTGACTCTCAATAAAAGCACCAATGTGATGAGTATAAGCCCAAAGGGAGAGCCCAATCCCAAAAGACTAGCCTATTGGGAGGGAGAACCCCTTAAACTTATAAACCCCATAATACTTGTGAGATTCCCCAATGTGGACTCATAACAGATAAAGATAGCTAGCCATGGTATGGGAAGCTTGCATGGTTGAGAAACAGAGAAAGCAACAGAAAAAACAGACTCATTGGCTGATCTATAGGTTATGCATTAAGTTAGTGGGCATAAGTTGGGCTCCTGCAGAGAAATAAAATTCCAAAAAAAATCAGGAAATTAGGCCCCCGTTTGGTACAAGGCATTACAACGGTACTGGGATTGCTCATTTTATCACGATTGGTAGGAAGACTTTAGCAATCCTGCGACTTTGTAATACCACTCATTCCCCTCGTATTGGAAAATCAATCCTGCCAACGACGTCTTCCACCGACCCACAACATCCTTGCTCCGATCCCTCGTTTTCGACCTCTGAACAGGATTTGGCGACGTCTTCGCTGCAGCTATCGTACCGGACTACAAATAGTATGCTCTCTGTCATTGGTGAGAGAGAACGAGGAGCAGCGAGGAAGCAACACCGACGAATAAAATAAAATAGACAAACACAAAACCAGAGACAAAATCCTTTAACAATGGCAATATTGTCTGGGGACTGGGCTTGAGAAAGCGGAGGGCGAAGGTGGGTGAAGCTCATCAAAGAAGGCCACTGGTAACCATCGAGGAAAAGCACTGATCCCAAATTTTCTGAAGTTTTCCAATCGTATCGGCGAAAATTGCCTTTTATTTTCAAATTCTGCGTATCTTGGGCTGATTACAATCACAAATGGCAACGAAGCTGCGGGTGTTTACTGGAGTACCATTGGCATCAACAACTACGTTGTGCATTTTGATTTCATCATCGCACCTGGGTTTGCAGTATTGGGGTTGAATGAAGATGGATGAAATAGTATTTTTTCAATTAATAACTATTTATAAAATAAAATTAATAAGAGCAGTCCTTTCATATATTACCTCACACCAAACATAATTTTAAAATCACATTCCTACTTCCAGTCCCAACCGCATTCCCACTCCCTTATAAAATTCAATGCTTCGAATAGAACCGAAAAAATGAGCCAAACCCGTCAGGCCGGCCCATTTATGCCTAAAAATTATGAGAGTTGAGTTTGAAAATTTTTCCTTCAAATAGAAAACAGGCCCTACAGGGCTAGAGCAGAGGGTCGGCCCGTTCAGACCTTTTTATAATTTTTTTTTACAAAAATTTGTGTAATTATAATATTATTAATTTTTTACATTATTAATAATATTTCAAATATTTAGTTATTATTATTTTAAAATTAAATTTCATAAAATGGTTTGATTTATTTAGTTTTAGACAATAATTTGTCCAATTAACTTTTAAAAAATGGGTTAATTTGGACTTTAATAATGATTTGATTTGTATTATATGCATTGATATTTTTAAACTATACATATTTGATAAGAGGGTATTTTTATACTTATATAGCTTGTGATTCTATAATTTGAATTAGAAATTTATAAGTTAAACAGGCCGAAAGCTCATGGGCCAGTCTTAAGCTCGTTAGCTTAAGGACTAGGCTTAACAAATTAGGATATTTTTGAAATTTTAGTCTTGTAGAACTAACCCTTTTAAACCTGCCAGCCATGCAGGACCGGCCCTGATTCCCACCACTAGCTTCAAACGACTTCAATGGGCGGGGCAGCCATACTACTAAGCTTGAAATTATAAATTGCAATTAGGTTGGATATAGGTTTTTTTTTGTATGACCACAAATCATAGAAAATAATTAAAATATATAAAAATAATTTTATATGATTTTGAAAAGAGTAATATTTAAATACATAACGTATCATCCACAAATAAATCAAATATTGATGTATAAACCATATATAATTCAACAGAGTTAATTACTAAATCACAAATATGATGAATGACTGTTCTTTTAAATGCAAAATGACATTGTTTATACTTAGCAAAGGGGGGGGGGAATGAAAAATCCAACTTGGTCGACTCATTCAAATTACCTCTTTACCGACCAATCAGATGACTATTTTACTGGTTCACTAGCCTGAGCAATCAACTCAGACCAAAAACGAAGTGGCAGTGATTTGAAGATTCATGAAGATGAGATGAGAGGATGGTGTTGTTCCTCATCGGGTTGGTTGAATTTGGTGGGAGATTTAGGACCTCTGTACATTGCATAAACCCCCAACTGCACCGCTCCCAGTAGGAACCCGCTTCCGTTTGGCACCTTCATTTTTGGTTGCAATCCACACACACATATGTATCCATCACTAATTAACTATATATATTTATAAATTAAATATTACCCCTATCCTTAATATAAGAGTTAGTTGACTAATTTAAGTATTTAAAAAAAATTAGTTAAAATGAGTAATTACTATAGGAACTACTTTTAAAAAAAAAGAAGATGAATATGAAACACAAAATAAATTAAGGTCTTAAGACTAAATTAAAGGTTAAACTAACTCTTATATTAAGAAACGAAAGTAATATGTACCAACTCCATCAACTTAATTTTTTTTTTTTGATAAGCATAGGTATCTTACTATTTGAGACAATCCATCAACTTAATTAACATACTACTATTACTTACCCCCAAGATCCAATCGCTTTCAAGGATGGCATAAAACAACCAAACGCCACCGTTTAAAAACATGCACAGTGAAAGTAAGAATGGCATATATTCCACGCTTTTCGTCGTCACCACTAATCTCTGCGCATTAATTCATAATTATTTCAGCTGTAAATATCAATAATTACAAAATAATGGGAAAAACAGGTAAATAAGTCATATAATGAGAAAAGCCCCACACAATATAGGAATTATGAAAAAGTAGGGGCGAAAATGTATATGACATGAAGAAGTGGACAAAAGGTTTTCAAGCACGTGGTGGAATTAATTGTGCATAACAACGAAGCAAAAACGACCCACTATATCTCCTCCACTTATATATGGATATCGTCATTAACCCTTCAATTATGCATATTACGATTCCTTCTTGGCCACAAATCTTATGTATCCCAGTGCCAATTTGTGCAAACAAATTAAAGTGGACCTCTTAGCCATTGTGAATGTGTGATATCCATATGCTTGCTTAGCTTGCACCTTGCCACATCAAAAATATCTCACGCAATCAATCATTTTCTTAGCATTTACTTTGCAACCACCATGATGTTTTCTCTGTGATCATGATCAGGCGATTGTATAGCATTATGCAAAAATCATTAATAAGACTTAATAAAGGTAATTAATCTTATATGCACGTATCTTGATGAAGTTGAAAGTTAGAAGAGAAACGTGTGGTGTTTGGAAGAAGGAAGGAAGATTGAAGATAAGAGATCATATGGTTATTGTAGACATACCAGGGCAGCTAGGGGAGAGCCGTACATGAGAATATTTAAAGCAGCACCCATAATTCCGACGACATCAATCCGAACTTCTCCGTGCAACGCTATCTGAGTAAATACTATGGCCACTCCTAAGAATCCCACATCTAAGAGTCCAAACAGAATCCCAGTTTTGGCCTGTGCTAATCTCATTAATTAATTCTTTACCCCCTAATTTGATATAAATATATGATCAATAATGGTAGATTTCAATGGCTTACTCTCATCTTGGTCGGAGCATATATAAGAAATACAATAATGTAGGCGGTTTCCACCACAACCCCGAAGCCGTTGACGGTGGCCACAAGGTATTCTCCGGTCTTCATCACTCCATAGTAAGTCCACAAGGACGAGTTCAGCAATGTGCAGATGTAAGGCAGACTTTCAAACTCTTCCGTAGATCCATGCTTTATTATTCTCCAGAATGTCGGCCTGCAATTTACAATTAAATCATTTGGCAATGCATTTCATTAATTTTGCTAAACTTAATTATTGGATTCCAACTACACTGGATATGAACATATCATTATTAGATTGTATGCAGAAGCAGGAAGTAGAAGCCTTACACCGGAGAAAGAAACATGAGAACTGAGATGATATTTCCTGCAACCAAAACAGGACATGAGTAAGTAAATATGGTCATAAAAATTAGGCACATATTGTGTGTGTGTGTGTGTGTGTGTAGGAAAGTGCTTGATAGGAGAAAGAAAATGCTATTTTGAAACCTATAACCCCAACAAAGAAACTCGGTTGCGCCATGTTTGGGAACAAAGAGAGTGAGAAGGAAGAGAGGGCTTCTTTTTAAATAACAAAAGCAAGTTACCATTCAAGGAAATGGTGATCAATTGAAGCATGGCCATAATTGGCAGATACAGTAATAAACAGTGGCCATTTTATATTATTTTGTCCGATGTGAACGTGATTATTAGGCACTAGCAGGTCGTGGGCCTCTCTGCATATGCGTGGTTATGGAGAAAGCCCCAACACATTGGTTAAGCAGATGGTTTGAAAGAGACACACACACACACACGAGATTTTTTCAAACGAATGGTCATATTTGAATTAATGTGTAAGATATTAAATGAATGAAAAGTTGAATAAACTGACACATATTTTTGTAGAAATTTGATCGAGAAACAAAACTAAAGGGAGGAAGAAAAAAGAAATATAGGAGTATCTGTTTCAAAAACCGAGGTAGTCCCACCAGGGAAGCCAAAAGCTGACACGCATGTGCCTGCTAATATAGTGGCCTTGGAGTGGGATCCATTCATAAGCCCAAAGCAACTTCAACTTGTATGCTCCATTAATTCTGCACTTTTTACATGATATATCCCCACGCTCTCCGGCTTCATTATATTCTTTATTTGTTTCAATACAAGTTATCTCTCCTTTGTGTTTAATCAATGTGGCCCGTGAAGAAGACAATGGAAAAGGAACCTAGGAACAAACTAAAAAACACATAAATAAATTGGGGTTGTAGAGACTCGTATATAAGATTCACACCAAGCATGTTTTAAGCATATATGTAATTCTCAGAATTTCACGGCTGAGGGTTGGAAGAATTAATGAAGAATGGGTCGTGGAGGAGAGGAGATCACCGATCAAAACGTAAGCTGAGTTTGAGTAACATGGGCTCTTTCGGCCCTTCATAGTCATCACTAAACGATCAGCCCAAGCTCCATTCAGGCCGATCGAAAATCCAAAAGTGATTGACCTAACACGAAATACAATATTGACAAATGAGGCCCAACCCAGTTCCACTCTTAGTATTCCCATCGAGAAGATGATTCCGTAGCAGAGAATCCATAAAACTTCAAAAAGGAAGGTCTATTGGTCCCGCCCCTAAATCCTTAATCTTCCCTAAATTCACTTGACAGTGCCCAGGACAGTTTTGGGAGAATACATCGCATTCAGTGAACAACAATCGAAAACAAAAATGGTTGACGATTGTACACAGTTACACATCCAATACCGTTGACCTCTATAAACATATACAACTTATACAACCCTATCTAGATATCTACCTCTTCTTAGGTACAAAATGAACAGCGTCATGTGTACCACAATCATCATTGGTATACATATAGCAGTAATTAATGAACCATCCATGAAAATGTCTCTCAAAACTACACTCCTATTTTCAGAACAATATTTAAATTGTGGTTCTTATTTGATTGTTTTTTTGGTTCTCATGTGGACACACTATTTGGAACACCTCTACATGTAACGCCAGGTTCTGAGTTAGGAGCGAGCAGCTCATAAGGCAACACTCCGGCACCACATCGGTTCCTCATTGTCCTGTCACAGTTCCTCTTGTCAATCTCCTTATCTATCTGCATCATCTTGGCTGAGAAACCGTAGAAAGCCTCCACCATCTCGGCATCACCGGTCCAGATTGACGGTTGCTGCCGCTCACCGAGGTACTCCTCGTCCGGTGAGTGGGTGGACAGAGTATCAACCACAGCCATAAATTTGGAAGCTTGCAACAGGCTAGATATGGCATTAAGGAAGTATTTCTGAGGGTCTGCTAGGAAACTGGCATATTCTGGGTCACTCTCTTCCGGGATTAGTCTTCTCATCATCGGAGGCCGATTGGGCACGTACCCTCCATAAGGGTACTGCCCAAAGTTAAGAGCAGCGTGCTGTGCAGAAGCGTTCCAAATCAAGGTTGTGAGGATAGAGACGAGGTCGTCACCTGTGTTCAATGGTGGCCACCAAGGTTCGTCCTTGAGGTCAGCATGACCCACGTTGATGGACTCAAAGTACCAAGCTTGAAGCTCCTTGTCCTGAGCCACAAGGCTAGGGTCAGGGTAATAATGGTTCACATAGGTGCGAACCCAGTTTTGTATGGCTGACCAGATCATCAGCCCATCAGCAGCATAAGGGTAGTCTTCTATGAGCAGCCTCAGACCATGTGGTTGAGTTGGATCAGGAACTGCCATTCCCCTGCAATCAGGCAACAACACCAGAGTGCTTTTAATTACTACTCAGAATATACAAAATATGTTTTATGTCTGATACAAGAAGTATATATTATGATTTACCTGCGGATGAGATCAGCAGGGAGGCTCTCCATGTCAAAGCGCCATAGGTTTTTGTAAGCAGCAGAACTGATTTCCATGCAGTAGCGTCCAGGCGTGAAGCAAGACTCGATAATTCCATCTGCGTTGATCAAACTTTGACGAGCCAAAGCATTGATCTCTAGTGTGTATCTCATGTGAGGATCCAATAGCTTGAATATAGGATGCATCGCGCTTAATTGCCTGTGTGCTGCCAATATAAACGGCTCCATGACCGCATGTGTCCGTAGCCTATACAAAATTTACCATCCCCAGGTTAATTCTCAAGGTCAAAATTATCAGCATGTGAAGGAGTTGTTGTAGAAAGAACAGAGCTTTCAGGCTTTGCTTACCAATGGTTAACAAGTTGATGCACGCCGGCGTCATTGGAACAGACGTGGGCCTTAGCAAGCTGCCACATCCAGGTGGTGGTGGCGTCAACCGGCGGTGTGACTACGCGTTTTGACCGGGAACTGGGTCCGGCCGGCGGGAGACTGAGCTCAATAGCAATGGGCTTGAGAGTGCCCATGGGAGTCAAGAAGAAGATGGTTCGGGTAGCGTAGGATTTTCTACCATCAAGGGCATTGATCCCATCAAGAAACGGAAGGTAGATATCGTGATAGTCTATGATGAACAACTTATCTTCATCTATTGCCTGCAAAGTTCCCACTCAGGAAATTTCAGTAATTGTCACATAATTGGATCTATGAAGAAGAAGGAAACAGAGTTTTGAAGTGAAAGACGAGGATACCTGTTGAACAGTCATGCCATTGAGATGACCCAAAATGTGTTCCTCTCTGAGGGCAGACTCTTGAGGGCCATAAACTTGAGGGTCAAGCTTGCTGACGGGTGGGAAAACCTTGAGCTTCTCAATGTTCACAGGGTTGATTCCTGCAATTGCTTGACGGGCAAATTCGTCATCTCGCAGCCACGCAAACTTGTCCTCTGCACGTTTAGCATACGGAGAAAAAACATTACTTTAATCCGCTAAGAAAGTGGGTCACTTTTGGCTCATTAGTCATTATTATATCCACACCACAAAACACTCTTTTCACTCAACATTCACATGTGAAACATTTTTTTTTCCCCTTGATAGATGTGAAACAATAAAAGTTAGCTATTTTGTACATTGGCTGCGCTTGATGATATATTATTAATAATAAAAGTTACATGTTCACTCGTGATGCATCCATCAGTCATCTTTTTCAGGCCACGTCAAGTGCGTTAAAGATCCAATCTTTTATTGACCCCACAGTCCCCACTAACAAATGGGCACGTTAACCAAAACAAAAAGAGTTCTAATTATAAAGCAAGCTTTACTATTTGCTAGATTTGGACAGAAATTGAAAAATATTCCATGATGGGGGAGGAATAACAGAGAGGAAGGTGGTGGTACTCACTGGAAATAATCTTGGGAGTGTCGTACTTAAGAAGTCCCTGACTGGATTCATGGATCTTTCTGACCAAAGGGATTTTCTTGAGAACTTCATCTTGCAAACCCAGTTTGATGAGAAGACCCTCACTGTACAATCCATCAACGTCTGAGAATTCATTGAAGTCTTTGTTATTTGCAGAGAGGCTGGCCTTGAGCCCAGGAATCAAGTTATGAAGCACTGCCTTCAACCTCTTGATTGTGAATGTGTTCTGCTTTGACTCCTCAAATCGCTCATCTCTTGGAACGTACATTGGAAGCGGCTTCTCCACACGGCTCTCTGCATTCAGATCTGCACCAGACGAAGCCGAGTTTACTTAAACTTGAACATTCTAACAATTTTAAAGATTGATTAATCAAAACACGATGATTACGTACTTGTCTCTGTAGGGAGGCGGCCAGTACGACATCGTCTTGGGTAAGGATATTTTTCTGAGCCTCCAAGAATTGGTCTAGCGAGGTCCGAGCCTTTGTCTGGATTGCCCAGATCATTGTAGGGGGCAAAGTCATATATTCTGTCTGATAATTTCCTAACACCTGAGCCGTCACCTCTTAGATTCCGCAGTTCCTTCTCTCTCAGTACTCTTAGCCCAGCTGGTGTCTCATGAGGTAGATATGGCTGCTCAAGTGAATCAGAACCAGAATCTATTTATCAGATTATATTTCTCCAGTAATTACTAATTAATAATGACTAAAAGCTATCAGCTCCAGAAGAATAACATTATACTATTGTTGCGAATTTATTCCAGCAAACAAAAACAAGATATCTCTCGTCTTTTTTTCTGTCTGAAATATTGAGGTGAGCAAAGGCAATTCTGTCGGTGGCTGATATTACGTCAATATTGAATTAAGCTCTTTGGCCTCCGCATGACACAACATGAATTTCCAAAGGGAAAGATGTTTTTTTTTTTTTTCCTCATGTGATCATTTTTAATGAAAATAATATTTCACAATAATTTAGCCGCTATTTTAAAAATTACAACAAGCACAAGGATTGTCTCTGAGTTCAATGACAACTTGCAAATTCTAAGGATTTATTAAATAAGTAGTATAAAGTAAATTAAAATCAAAGTTTTGAAGACTTTTCCGTATAGGTGGCATGCAGAGTTGCCCACCATCCCACTGGCTGAATAATTGGAAAACAGACAAGAATAAATATTTTCCTTTTCAACTCAGTATTTATTTGTCCTCTCGGAATTTTCAAGAGGAAGATAAAAATTGCTTTGGAAAGTTTGACCTTTTCAACCCGAAAGAAAGAATTAAAACAGATAAGCAACTTAATTAGGTGCATCCCTTTTCTGGGGCCCTGTGCAGATTCAATTCTTCAAAGTATGATAACGAAACACCCCCCCCCAAACAAAATAAAACGCCAGAACAAAGAAAAAAACAATAAAATAAAAAAGTTTAACAGGACATCACTAGAGAGATTTAGATTACCTTGTTGGAAAAAAATATCCTTTTTCCAGGATGATCTTTCTTGGCTTGAACCCAGGAGTTACAGGGGAAATGAACAGGACCACAAGCAAATCCTTCTATGGTTATGCTTTCCATGAAGAACTCTTGCTGGTGTTTGTTCGTCACTGTAATAGCTCCTGGTTCTCCAAAATCGGAGTCCACCATGAACTCGGCTGTGTAATTAACTCTCTCTGCTTTCACATTCAGTTTCTTTGACCAGTCTTTCAGCACAGCTTCATTGCTCTTCTTTGGGGCTTTCGTTTCTGCACAATCAAACACAACAGTCATATTTGTTTGGTGTCCAGAAAGTTATTCTTGTGACCATATTTGACACACCTAGAAGAAGAAAATAATTCCTGACACCCCCAGAAAAATCGTTTGGGAAAGTTGGGTGTGATCAGGATTCAACCTACGATCGGAATTCGGAAACCCAGAATATGATTATCGTTGAAACTTTCTTTGCTACGGTTTTCTGACAAACCCAGAAGAAGGAAGGCAAACAAAATAGGAAAATCTCTCAGAAGGTCGCAATTTTCAAGGAATTGCTACCGTTTCTGACATGACAAGAGAGCGAGAATTTCAAATCACAAAAACGATCATTATATCCGTACAAGCGTTTCTGAAAAAACCAGAAACCAAAAAGATGACAAGAAGAAAACTTACTTGCGTCAATCTCAGTGCTGACAAGTTCCAAAACAACATTCCTGCCTATTCGGTCAGTGATGGCATCCAAATGCTTGACAACGGTCTCCTTAAAGTCCTCTTTGATCTTGTTCCTAACAGTCACTACAGCTCTAACCTTGAATGTCACTGCTTTCTCAGCAGGAACAGAAGAAGATGATGATGATGATGATGAAGAAGACGAGGACTTGACCAAATCCTCACTGATGGCTGCCACGGTATTTTTCTTCACAGCTTTTCTCAACCTCACTGCTCGTCTATTCTTCTCCAAAGGAACCGCAAAAGGGCTCTGCTGAAAACTATGGCCAAGGAGCAATTTTGACGAAGAATCAAATGAAGATCTCTCGATCAAAGAAGCACCCATGATTTCTTTTGCCAGGGCCATCTTTCGTTCTTCCCCTCAGCCTTATTTGCTCTTGTGGGTTCTGACAACAGAGTTTGGAGAGAAAGATGGAGAGAGAGAGAGAGAGAGAGGCGCAGAGATGATGGTGGCTCCAGTGGGTGTCCGTGAGATGGTGGGAATTGTGAGAGTGGCTTTTTTATTGCGTTTATATATATACAGGGAAAGTGAGGAAGAGAGAATAGCATGAAACTCACCGTCCAGGCGTCCACACGTTTTTCAATAAAAAAAAGTCCCTGAAAATTTTCCCCTGTGAATCTCTCACTCTGCCTTGCTTCATATTGATTTGTGATAGGGAAACATATTTCATTATTAATTACTTATGACTTTGTTTCCCTTGTTTTATTTGTTGCCATATCATAGAGACTTCAAAAATCAAAACATATGGGCTGCCGAGTCAAAACTCAAAACCGAGCGTCAAAGTATGAAACGCGGTTGATGGAAAAGTGGGAACCCCAAGCGAAAGTGCGTTGCTGCCTTAAAATGACAATTGTACCCCCACCTCTTCTCTTCACTTCTCTCACTCATCTCCTCCTATTTACAGGGCAAAGAGAAGATATTTTTTATTCTATTTATAAGAAGTTAAAAGAAATTTTTTGTATAAAAATATAATTTTATCCTTTATTTATTATTGTGTTGACTTTGTTTACATGAGGTATAATGTATATTAAATAGGGATAAAGTTGAAAAATTATTGAATTTTAAATTAGAGTTAATAAAGTTTAAGATTTTTTTATCTGTGTAAAATATGTTAAAAGTAACCTATAAATAAGACCATAAGAGTATAGTACTAGAAACTTGACTCGTTGATATAAATATGTCACGATGTGTAGTAATTTTTTTCAAAAATATCATAATTAATTTTGAGATTTTACCAAACATTTAATGACACTCGTAAAGGCAAGTTACATTTAATGAAGGGCATGAGAAAAATTTTTAATAAATAAATAAAGCAGACATGGCCACATGAATAGTATTTTTTTATATTTAAAATGAAGAAAAGACTTCCTAAGTTTCCTTGTATATGGGAAGTAATAAGGAATGGAGGGATATATTCTAGCACGTTAAATTATTTTTCTTCAATTCACCTTTGAGGAGAAATGGGTAGCTTCTAAAATATGTAAAACATCTTTGAATTTAATTTAACAGTGTTCTGCAATGTAGTATATAACTTTTTTTAACGGATTTATTGAGTTACCGCTCTTGTCCAGTCATCCTATTTATGAGGTCAGCGAAGAAGAAATAATTTTTCTATCCTAATTATAAGTCATGTCATTAATTTTTTATCAAGGTGAAAAAAATGTCATTATTTTTTTTATCATTAGTTTTCCTTTTACTCCTCATTAAATGATAATATGCTATTCTAAAATTTGGCTTTGTAAAGCGATTGCGTTTTGGATATGTCAGTATCGTGGAATATCTGTGAGACATTTTTTTTGGGATGTGATTTTGTTGTCCCATTTCTTTCTTTAAATGCAGCTGTGTGTTCATGGAGATGGTCGTATTTTGTATTAAGGACCAAAGAAAACTTTTAGAAAGCATTTTATATTGAGAATCGAAAAGAGTATAATGCAAAATTTATACCAAAGTCCAAATATGTAAATCATGATAAAATTAAGTTACCATTTTTTTTTCTTCAATGTAATATAATGTGTGAGATTTCAGTTGAGTTCGTTGCCTAATTCATTTTCTCTAGTAAAATTATATATTGCCTTGGCATTTATGCACGCAGAGGATGGGTTAGGTGATGTAGAATATTTCCTCCCATCATTTGTGTAGATAGGAGTTGTCTGTACTAACGGGAATTAAATCTAGTAGAAGGAGCTAGTTTCTCACAATATAGCAAACTAATATTTGAATCCTTGTTGGGAGAGATGCTTATATTTAGTACTCGATAGTATCTTAAATAAGATTACCTACAATAAAAGGATACCTATACTTTAAGGGAAAAAGATATGAGTAATATCTTGATTCTTATGATCTTAAATATAAATTACATTGTAAGAACTGTTGGAGCATTGATTACTTTATTTTAAATACATATATTTCTAATTTTCAATGAGAAGACAGTGAAAGTATATATTTGTGGAATTTAGGGTATTTACTAGGAATATATATACTACCTCATATCCTTAATAGCTAAATGACTAATTTTAAAAGATTAAAAAAATTAGTTAAATTTGTTATTTATAATAAATGTGTATTGACTTCTTTTAATTATCGTTATTCAATTATGCATATTGGAATTATACTTTGATGGAAATATCTTACAATCAATAACAATATTTTTAAAGACATATTATAAATTTGAAAGATAAAATAGATTGATGTTTTATATTTAGGACCCTTAACTAACTCTTATATTTTAGACCAAAAGAAGTATTTTTTTTGGGTCAAAAGATATATATATTCATTAATTCAAAAAATAGGGTTATCTTTTCGCAGTTTAAACCTTGCACAGGCCAGAGAAAAAGGGAAAAAAAAAAAAAAAAAACGGGGATCATGATGGGTTTTCCTAAAAAGACCCGACCCAACTCAAATTTGAATTAACTGAACGTAATTAATAAATTGTCAAAAAAAGTAACGTTATAATTTGAACCGATACCATTTGTATATGTCTTGTACAATTAGTAAACCATTTAATCAAAGCATTAAGTAACTGCTCCGTCCATCCCATTTTTGATTAGTGTTAATTCCTGCGCCATGAACACAACAAAAGGTTGACTAAATTAGAATTGGAGATTTTAACAAAATATTTATTAATATATATCCACCAAACCACTATAACCTAAAAAGATGCACACAATTAGTTAAAGAAATAAGTATTTGTCATTATATTATTGATTCCTTCCCAGAAGCAAAAGGATTGATTAAGGAAAGATAGACAATACGTAACTAACATTAGAATGAACTAAAAATCTACAATAATGGATTCAAATATAAACACTCCCGAACCAAAAAGAGAAAAATAACAATCCCTTTTGTTCACTGCCACTTTTTTTTTTTTTACACACAAAGATCAAAGCAGAAAAAATGTAACAAAAAATGGCTTATAATATATATAAACATGTGTGTGTGTGTGTGTAACAACCAACCGGTGCTAGTGGGGGCACATAGTACAATCACATCATAGACAGGATTTGAAGATTTTGAGTGCTGGAGACAGTAAGCTTTCAACAACATTAACCTTTGTTTGGTTCAAATTCTGAGTAACCCCACTTTGTGCAATATACAATTATACATACTTTAATAATTTGTTTTAATTTTCAGATTAAAGTCCAAGCTCACTCATTTAGATTTAGTGGACTCTTTCTTCGTTATTCTATAACCAAAAACCTACTTAATTAAAGCATATTTAAGGCGTGGGGGAATCTTTTTTATTTCTTCCCTACCTTAATTAACAAAATAGTTTTCATTTACTCCACATATCTTAGCTTGTCCCTGCCCTCCTCTATGATTGGCTTTTCTCCACTGCTATGTGGTGTTATTGTTTCGTCAGCAAACTTAATGGATGATGCAGAAAATTTTATCTTTTAAATAATACTCTCCTAATCTTAAATATAAAGCTCATTTTATAATATATTTAAGAGCAGGAGAGTATATAAACATGATAGCCGCCAGTTTGGCAGCCAAACAGGTTGACCTGTATATGTAAATATATGTTTCGTTTAGCGTGAACTGGGAAGGTACGAGATTGCTTCGTTGGTTTTTGGAATCACATCGTTCTCTTTCTGCTACGTGAAGTCAGGGACTTAAAAAGGAGGGATTATTTGGATAAGACCATAAGAATTATAACTATTGAGCAGTCAAACGCAGCCCCCTTGTTATATATGTATGTCACGCTTACTAGTACAAATCTCCAAGGTACCAAGTCTTAGATTTGGAAGAAAGTTGCTGGTCAGGAAAAAAGATTTGGAAGAAAGTTAGGCTGCTTTGTAGAAATTCATCATATCAATATACTCCTCCGGTCCTTAATATAAGACCCATTTAACTAATTTGATTAGATTAATGAAGTTAGGTAAGTTAGTTAATTGTAATAAATATGACACATTTTTCCTAAAACATCATAATCATCTTTCTCAATATCCCCTCTCCTTCTTCTACTTGATTATGGTTGAGGGAGTATCCATAGGGGTAATTTAGGTATTATTGATAAATATGAGAAATAGGTCTTATATTTAGGATTAAAACCAACTCAATAATTGGGTCCTATATTAAGGACCGGAGGAGTAAAACAAAAAATACATAACACATGAAATAATATGACTGCCAACTTTAGAGGTTAACGTAAGTGGTAGAGACTGTCATCCCTTTAAAAACTGATTAGGAGTTTGAATATTAATTTTTATTCGTAGTACAGTCCTAATTAAGTAGGAGGAAATTAAGGATACTTTTGGTTTGTCCTAAGAAAAAGAAATAACATGACTCATTTCTTACCACATAGTGCAATTATGACAAGATATTCATAAAATAAATATTATTTTGAAAACTGAAACATTTTATTAAGATTTAATTTCTTCAATTTATCATAAATATGTATATCGAAAAGTGCTTCTGTATTCTTACAAACAACTTTTATGATTCTCTTGCTTCTTTTTTTTTTTTTTTTAAACTTGCAAAGTTGGAAAATTTTTATTGAATGTCTGAAGCCTTAATTTATGAGGGTGTATCATGGGAGGCGGCGACTACGATGGGAAGAAATTAATATACTTATGCTGTGTAAAAAGCATTTTATAAAACTCACAACGTTAAGCAGTAGCTTTGATAAATACTAGGATTATATTATAGCCGTGCCTATTAAAAAAAAGGGATAATTAATCCACAGCTCCTTATAGTTTCAACTAATTTTGAATCAGGTTCTTATAGTTTTTTTTCTTTTTATCAGGTCCTTATACTTTCACCTGTTTTTAATTAGGTCCTTGTATTTATTTTTCTTTTTATCAAGTCCTTATAAGTTCACCTTATTTTTAATTAAGTCGCTGAATTTTTTATTCTTTATTTTATAAATTCTAATAGTACTATTATATAAACATAAAATAGTATATATTATTTAATATTAGTTTATAAACAATAATATTTTAAAGATATTGAATTATTATAATGATTTTAATTTTTTCAGCAAAAAAATTAATTGTTCTAAAAAAATTTCCTGAATTAATTAATTCTATTAATTTTTTATTACATAATTATTAATTTAATTTAATTATTAATATTTTATATTTCAGTATTAATCTATTTAATTAAGCTTATATTTAATTAATAAATAAAAATTAAAACTACATGGACCTGATTAAAAATTTAGTGAAATTATAAGGACTTAATTAAAAGAAAAATAAATATAAGGACCTAATTAAAAAAAGATAAAAGTATAAGGACCTGATAAAAAGAAAAAAAACTATAGGAACCTAATTCAAAATTCGTTGAAACTATAAGGACTTGCGGATTAATTAACCCTAAAAAAATTACGGTGCGTAATTATTAAATTTTCAGAACAAAACATCCGAAATTTTGGCAGAAGAGTAACATGAAATATCAAAACATATATTGGAATTTTTTTAAAAAAAATACTGAATATACATGCAGATGTAGACATTGGCACATTAAGTTGGACTGCCAGATTCGTGGTCATATTAATTACACGACATAATGGATCGGTGCCCCTGGCCCCTTTTTAAAGATGTGCGTGCAATAATGCACTACAAGATATTTTTTTATTGGGAAAATCCAAAAAACTACCTATGAAATTTTAAAATTTTAAATAAAAAATCACCACAAAATATATTGGTATTTGCTTTTTAAATGTAGTTTATTACTATTAAAGTGTAGTAAATAAAACTAATTTAAAATTTTAAAATTCAAGAGGTATTTTTTTTAGAACTTTCTTCTGTTTTTTCATCGCCAAAATAATATCTATAAATATCTATACTTGTTAAGTGCCCGTGCTGGTGCTGCTAACAAATCTTGCTGAAGAGATAAAGCGCAGTTACATAATTTTTATATTTTGAAAGGGATTAGTCATTTGCTGCTTGATGAGGAATATTCTCAGTACATAAAAATATATATATTAGGTGATCATTGGGGGGAAGATTAATTGATGATGAGGAATTAATTTTAATATATTTAATTAAAGTAAAGTATACAATTTACAACTAACAACTTCATCAAAAATCATTAAGCTAGGAGTCTATGATCGATTTTCATTTGAGACTATCTCAAAATAAACGATAAGGCCCTGGCACGGTAATGAGAAATCATGCTTCTCTCTTTCTATAAATGTTTACATTATTTTTTATGTATTTTAAAATAAATCCAAATTTTTTTAACAAGATTAAATGCGTCTATAAAATTGGGTTCCTAGTTAATTAGTAGTTACTGTACAAATACTGTTTCCACTGAAACTTAATTAGTGCATTTTTAAAAGCACTGCGTATTAGTTGCATAGTATCTATTCTAAAATATATATGTATAATAAAAATCATATTAAATTTCCATGGTTTTATGGTGGTGTTGTATTTTAAAAATAATATATATTGCAAAAATGCTACTTAAAATATATATTTTTAAATATATTGAAAATAATTTGATTCATTAACCATTTTATATAGGGTTAAGGTGTATACAGTAGCCCAAAGTATTTTCTCAAAAGCATCTAATACCCTAAAGTATTCTGTGGTACAATCAATACCTTGAAATATTTTTTTAAGTACATCTGGCACTTTGAAGTATTTTTTTGATACATTCAACATCCTAAAGTCCCGTTTGGAACAAAACATTAAAATAAAGGATAAGGACAATGATTGCAATTGAAAAAAATCATTAAAAAAATATTTAGTATGAGTAATTAACTGTTACATAGAATTACACAAACCTATCTATGTGGGATTAGGGAGTACTTACATATGATTAGACAAACCCATCCATATACCATAAAATATTTTGAGATATTAGATGTACTTAAAAAAAATAGTTCGAAGTGCTTAATGTAGCTTAACCCTTATACATATTACCAAAACTCTTTTGATGCTGGACCAAATGCATAGGCTTTGGA